TGCCTATCACACTGAACTGCTCTCCCCTTCCTCTCCCTCCTCCCCTTTACATACAAGTTTCCTTTCCCCTTTGTTTCAGTTGCCTGGCGTTAAGAAATGAGCAACTGGAGTGCTGTGGGAGGTTAAAGGATGTGCAGGGAGTGAGGGGATGGATGGGTTCAGTGGATGTGACTGGAACACAGCACCAGGCTGAGCATGTCAGGGATCCTGCAGGGAAAGTGTTCTTGCTGCTGCTCCTGTGCTCTCTTCCTCCCACTTCAGTTTCCAGGGCTTTCCAGAGGGGGGGGTTTCATGCTTCTGTACTGTACAAAGCTTCTGTTCACTCCTTCTTACAGCAGTTTCCAAGAGCTGGAAGAATCCATGCCCTTTTTGCAGAAGTCCTTGTGCTTCAAGGGATTTTGGACACATGGCTTTCATTGACACGGTAACAAGAGCCCTGTGAACAGGCTGAGACTTCAGTTAGACTTTTAACCTCTCCAGCTCTTGGCTGGTGGGAATTTGGCTCCTGAAGTAGTGGTGCCCTGTCAGTGTGGGTCCCTAAAACTGGTGGGATGCAGGAAGAGCTCTAAGCACCAGGTTTGCCACAGTGGTGGCTGATGTGGAAGGGAAAGCAGAGATTTGGAGCTGGATAAAGTGTGCATGCAGTGGATGCTGTGTGTGACTGATTTACAAGTTGTTGCTCAGCCCTGGAAGCTGTGACCTACAGGAAGCCCACTTAATCTGAAAAGAATGAGCCAGCTAATGAACACAATGGGGCTGTAAAGCTGGAAAGCCTGAGTGGAGGAGATCCTGCTTGTTGTGTCCTGGAGCCTGGTCCCAGTAAGAGGAGGAGGGCAGCTGCTGCTGGGGAAGTCCTGGCTAGCAGGTGAGGTCTGCTCTGGACAGAGCAGCACAGGGAGATCCTCTTGGATGGAGCAGGAAGAGCCTTCCTCATCGCTGCCTTCCAGGTGAGCTGCTGAGCTGGAGCCCAGTAGTGACCTTCAGAGAGCTCCTGTGGCTTCTTGGTTGGCATCAGCAGGAACTGCCAGGGTTGGAGTAGAAAGAACCCAGTTTGTTCTGTTGGGTGGGTTTCTCTTGTGTAATTCTTCTCAATTTCATACCTGACATCTGTACCCTTGATTTGCTGTTTCTCAGAACTTTTTTCTTCGCGAATTTTTTTGGAACTTGTTGGCATTTATCTGGGGAGTCTGCCTAGAACAAGAAGACTCCTCTTCTTCAAAACAGCAAATCCATGTTTGGATTTGCTATTTTGAAGATCAATAGACCAACTCTTCAGGTGCCTGTAAGGCTGGAAATCTCAGGACTCTTTCATGGCAATCCTCTTGGGTGGCTTCCCTTCAGCTGTAAGAGGTACCAGGAGAGTGGCAGTGCCAATGTCAGCTCTCTGGGAGCAGTGCCATCAGCTGCTCTCACTTTTGGGCTATCCTAAGGTAGTCATGGGATTCAAGTCAAGCTACTCATTGTTTCATTTGCCTTCTGAAAGGCTGGTGACCAGATACCTACCTGGGAGGATCAGAGCTTAGTCTGCTTGGACTACTTAGGATGCTGTCTGCCATCTAGCTGGTGGGTTAGTAAAAACCAAGAGAAAAGAGTTCAGCTTGATCATGGTTGCTCTTGGTTTCTCTGAAAACCTCCTGCACCAAAGCCCATTAGCTGCTCTGTGGTTTTTATTTCATATGTGGGTAATGAAAGCCATGTAAAACACAAGTTTCTACACTTGTGGCCATAATAAACAAGGTGAACCTTCAGGCAGTTCTTTATTTACCTCCTGTGCTTTTGAATAATTCACCTCATGCTCAGGAATAATGATGTTTCTGCCTGCACTGCTCAGGAGCCTGGGATGAGATTGTTTCCTTGAGATGTAATTACTGTCATTCAGCATACTGCTTATCAGACAGGCACCTAAAATGAACAAGAGTGTGTAAAGTTCCACTAAAATTTTGGCTTTTGGGGGAGGACAGTGTTGCACCAGGAATCCAATGAACTGTTCTTTATTTTTTTTGCTGGTCCAAGTCAGTTTTGAAGGTGTTTGCTCTTGCAGTGAAATACAGTGAGTCTAAATGCAATTTTAAATCCTGCTGCATTGTTTGTTCAGCCTTGGGCAGCCTTCCTGCCTTTTTTTGCTTGAGCTTTGCTGCTGAAGGGTTTGCTTATCCCAGCCACATTGCAGAGGTGCTTGTGAGAATTAAATGACCTGTATCTTGACCATTAACTGACACCTGAAATCAAGAGCTGTGCTGAAATTCATACTCAGTAAGTCAAGAAAAACAGTTTTGATCTCTTCTCAGTAGAGTAGCAGAGCCCTTCAGATTTTATGTGCTCATAGTTCCCTGTACAGTGGGCTGAGTTTGGCTGTCCTTGGCATGGTGGGTATGTGTGCACAGACATGTCAGTGGCACAATCTTTGTGTATTAGGGTGCTCTGCCAAGCACAAAACCAAGGTGTAAGTTGTGTTTCTAATTTAATTTATTCTTGTACCCATCACAGACCTTGCTTTGGTTAACCAAAGCTGTAGTCAGCTTTGGTTATTTAACTTAGAGCTTCTTAAAATGTAACTTACTAAGCTGACTGCTTTACTATCTTGTGTTATTAAGCATTGAAATGACAATAGTGGCCTTATTTTCTGCCTATGATTGTTTTTATAGTTCAGATGGATGGAGCCCTATTTCCTTCACCTTTCTTTTTATTTAAAGTCTTTTGTAAAGATCAAAAGCTCTAAGCATCCTTATAGTCTTTGGGTTTAATTTTTTTTAGGTGAAACTGGTTCTTGGATGAAATGCTGTCTATCTGATGGAGCTCATCTTGGTGTACTGTCCTACAAAACTGAGAGTGACACAAGCTTAAATGCCAGAAATTTGCCCAAAAGCCCCCAAAACTTCTTGATGAACACATGAGGTTGAGGAAACTTCCAAGGCAAGGTCCAGAATCCAGGAGAAGGCTCTCCCTGGGAGCTCTGCTGGGAGCTCCATGGTCTCTGTTGCCACCAACATTTTCAGCTGGGAACAGTATTCACACAGCTGGGGACAGTGTTTACTGTCCTTCCTGTGCCCATCTTGGGATTTTCCTGAACATTCCCCGTGTGTTATGTCCCTTTTGGCTGATCTTCTCAAGAGCTGTTCCAGCCCCAGCCCACTGAGCCCAGTGAGCTGTTGGAGATACTTCTGTTTGTGAGAGGGGTTTGTACAATCACACCTTAACTGCTGCTCTCTTCTTGTTCAGACAAGGTTCACACCGGGCAGAGGTGCTGTTTCCAGGGGCCCCAGACTGGTGGCCATAGAAATTTGTCAAGTGTTGACTCTGGAGTTTAATAGGAACCCAAGTGTCAAAATTGATCCCTCACAACACACATGATTTAGCAGGGACTAAGTTCTTCATGCTGTTGCCCTCGTGCTCTTTTCTTTCCTCTTTCCTAGACCTCTAGCAAAGCTTTCAAGCATCTTGCTTTGACAGCTTTTATGTTTTTCATTCTTTCTAGGAGCTGAGCCTGATCTGTAAGGCCCATTACTTGTGGAAGAGCTGTAGAAGTGTTGTGGACTGAGCCACAGTGATGGCTGAGGCTGAACAAGTTTCACAGTTCATTACACATTAGCACTCAAGTTTGGTTTGTCTCTACAGCTGCTCAGGATGTCCTCTGCCAGCCTTCTCTGGTAGCAAATAAAAATTTTCTCCTGACTGTGCTTTAGAGCTTTCTGGTTGGTGGCACCCAGAAACATCAGCTGAAATTTGGGCTGAAGAGTCCAGGGAGCTTTCACTGAGCACAGGATATGTGGGACCAAGCCTCCTGCAAACACCCCCTACGCCAGCTGTGTGGGAGAACCACGCCTGGCACCTCAGGGCTGCTGAGAGCTGAAGATGGCTGAAGGTCCATGGTATGTGACTTGCTGGATCTCATTTTGGAAGCTTATTTCCTCAGTTTCTGTTGTGGTTTCTTCTAGGGCTTTACTCAACCTCTCCCTTTAACCCTCAGAGAGTTTTAATGAAGTTCTCATGTCCTTGTCACTTGTTGCCTGGGGCCCAGGCTGAAAGCCCAAAGTTTGTGATAGGAGGGTTTAACAATGAGGTCAGCAAGAGTTGGGTCACTGCTGTCTCATTTGCTTGGGTTGACTCTGTTCCCATTCAGGCACCTGCCATGTATTTAAGGGTCCCTTTTTGTACTATGGAGACTTTGGCTGATCAGGATTCTGCTGGAGAGTGTGAGCAGAACACTGAATACCAGCATCACCTGCACTTTTCCTGCCCCAGGCAGCAGAGAATTGCTGGAAGGCTGGTGCTGGAAAAAGGGCACTCTTTATTGCCAGTTTATTGAGTTCCATGCACATTGTATGACCCTGCAGGGCTGTGCATGAAGGTTTGTAGATGCTTCCTGTTTGGAGAGATGCTGTTTATATTTAACACACCCCAGGTATCTGCTGGCTGCTGCATTTGCTCCAGCAAAGGGCACAGCAGCAGCTGGGAAAAATGGGGAATTTGTGGAGGCCACTGCGTGGTCCCACAGGAGCAGTTAGTGGGACACACAATGGGATTCCCATAGTGCCAAGTACTGAAACATCAGTGCCTCACACTTTTTTTTTAAATATATATATTTTGATTTATTTTTTGGGGTAAAAGGATGACTTGGTCTTCTTCCTGCAAAGCAGCAGTTCATTGGGCTCCCTTTGGTCCTTAAGCACTTACCACCACTCCTGTGCTTCTGAGTTTATCCACACCCTGGGGCTGCGAGGGGGCTGAGGTACTGTAAAGGGAATGAAAACATGGGGTGATTTCTTTATGTTCTGTGTGAGACCTGCAGAAACTGGGCAGCAGATGGAGGATCTGTGCAGATTTACACTGAAGAAGGTGGGTAAGTAATGGCATCACTCAGGCTTAATCCTCACAGGGCGTACACCTACAATCTAAGTTGTTGTAACAGATGTTTTCTTTCTGTAAATGTCTTTTCCTGGTGTTCTGGCTTCCTTCTAGGACTTCTCCTTATACCAAAACCTCTTTTCCTTGATCCACAGGCTCACCTTTACACAAGCAGGGCACCACATCCACCGCCAGCGCCGAGAAGTCGGCTTCGAAGGTTGCCGAGGTGGGCGATGATTTCCTGGGAGACTTCGTGGTGGGCGAACGCGTCTGGGTGAACGGAGTGAAGCCAGGAGTGATCCAGTACCTCGGGGAAACGCAGTTTGCTCCTGGCCAGTGGGCAGGGGTTGTTCTGGATGACCCTGTGGGTAAGAATGACGGCTCCGTGGGAGGAGTGCGCTACTTCGAGTGCCAGCCGCTGCAGGGCATCTTCACGCGACCATCCAAGCTGACGCGGCAGCCGGTGGCCGAGGGCGCGGGCAGCGACGCGCCCTCCGTGGACTCCCTGACGGCTCAGAACTTGTCCCTGCACTCGGGGACGGCCACGCCGCCCTTGTCCACGCGCGTGATCCCGCTGAGGGAGAGCGTCCTCAACAGCGCCATGAAAACGGGCAACGAGTCCGGGTCCAACCTGTCGGACAGCGGCTCGGTGAAAAAGGGGGAGAAGGATCTGCGCCTCGGGGATCGTGTGCTGGTGAGTTGGCTGGGGGGTATCGGTGGGGAAACACAGGGCACCAGCTCACCAAGAATTTTACAGCAGCCCTCAATTTTACTACTCACTTTAAAAGTTTTTTGACCAATTGTGGAAACCCAGGGCACTGGGTATGTTTCCCTGTCTGCTCTAGGGTGCTCTGACCCCCAGGGGAGCACTGACTTTGTGGTGGTGTTCACAGGGGCACCAGGAAGAGGGAAGAGATGAGGATCTGACTCCATGTTTCAGAAGGCTGATTTATTATTTTATGATATATATATTATAGTAAAACTATACTAAAAGAATAGAAGAAAGGATTTCATCAGAAGGCTTGAACAGAATAGAAAGGAATGATAAAATCCTGTGACTGACCAGAGAGAGAGACAGCTGGACTGTGATTGGCCATTAATTAGAAACAAACACATGAGACCAATCACAGATCCACCTGTTGCATTCCACAGCAGCAGATAATCATTGTTTACATTTTGTTCCTGAGGCCTCTCAGCTTCTCAGGAGAAAAAATCCTAACAAAAGGATTTTTCATAAAATATATCTGTGACAGACTTTGACGTTCATTCATGAAGAAAGTTCCCTAAATTCCAGAACAGACTAGAATCCACTAGGGTGTGAGGTAGATTGTAGAGAGTAGTGTAGGTGTAGGACTTAGGTGGGAAATTTAGGTTGGGTGTGGTGCAGCAGCCACACATGGGGGAAAGTGAACCTGAGGATCTGCTCTCTTTTAATGAGTTTTTTTGCTCCCATTTTCTCCTTTACCTCGTGTGGAGAGTGTTCAGGTGAGAACTTATGATTTTACAAGCAGCAGACATAGAAGGCACACTGCAAAATATAAAATCTATGCTAAATCTGGCTCTGTTCTTTCTGAAGCAGGCAAGCAATGGAATGATGTTCTCCAGACTTGTTTTACCCCTTTCTTCTCCTGACCATAAGTTCTCTGAGACAGGACCTGTTCCCTGAACACTCTGCTCACCTCAGTGGCCCACCCAGAGTGAATTTTGGCATAGCCACAGGATACAACCTGGGAGCATCTCTCCCTTGGGCTTCTGTTGAGTTGTATTTTGGGAATGGTCTGGGTTTTCAATTTTTTTTTAATGAGGATACATCCTTAAAAGCCTGCCCTCCCTGCCTGCTAATTTATCCCCCTCAGATGTTACTAGATAAAGTTTGTGCTGTGACTTGTTAGTGTAATAAACAGCTACAAAAGAGTGAGCCTGGAATAAGCTTAGTCTGTCTCTGGTTCTAGCAGGAATGCTCAGCATACAGAAACATGAGGAATTGTTTGCACACAGTCATAGAGATCCAGGAAAAGAACAGATAATAACAGGAAGAAATAATTTGCTATTATGGTTCATTCACATCTGCTTGGCTTGGCAGCTTTTATTTTACTTATGGGAGGAGTCAGTTAATCATGTTGGGTATTGGAATACATAAACAATAATTCTGAGTTAACCTGAGTTGCCTCAAATTCCTTGAGCCAATCTTTGCTCATTCTCTATGGATGGGTACAGTTTTAGTTGTCTTTATTACTATCAGTGTTTCCTTCCTGAAAGAGTGTATTTTTATCTGAGAGTGGCTTTTAGATGTATGGGATCCAGCAAAGGCTTTTCAAATGAGGGAGGATGTGTTTTCAGTGAGTGCTTGTGATAGAGCACAAGGTTGCAGGGGACCCTTCCAGGTCAGCCAGATGGACACCTGGCTCTCTGCAGTCAGGCTATTTCCTGATGGTGCCTTTCTTGAACTTCATTAAAGTCCATTATAGCTTGAAGACATTTTTGCTTTTCAGTTACTTTGTTCCAAGACCCTCTGTGACTCTCCAGCAGTGACTTTCAGCTTTCCATTAGCAGCTTTCCATTAGAAGAGTTAGATAATATTTGCCTTTGGCACTCAGACTTTTTCCCAGAGATGTAAAAATTGCATTAAAGAGATGAAAAATCCACCCTAATGTTATAGAACTCATCTCTTGAAGTCTGGCAAATAAATGTGGGACAATTAACCTTTGCTTTAGTGACAGCTGAGCTTCCTGAAGTGGGATAATTGCTGAAGTTCTGTTAATGTGAGGCTGGCTTATTGCCTTTCTGCAGGGAAAGAAGGGCTGGAAACAGACCAGTGGAGCATTTTTTGCCTGGGAGGAATTTCTGCTTGGTTTTTTGCCTAAGAAAATGTATTTTGCATTCTTTGTGGAGAGGCCTTCTTAGCAGCTGAAATCATTCCCCTTTAGATGTCATTACTCTGAAGGAGTGGGGGAAGTAGGTGGTTTTATTATATGTCAGCCTAAATAAAAAATAATTTATACTAAAAAGATTCTTCTTAGAATAGGTATTCTGCCCTTCAGCCATGCTTGTATTTCCTAACTGGAATTGTGCAGTTCAGCATTGAAATGGAGTGATAAGTAAGGCTGTTTAAGGGCCAGTGGCTGGTTCAACTGCTGAGGGGTATTGCCCAGATACCTTCTGGATGGATGCCAGGTTTGTGATTTTGCTGGAACTTGCAGGGCTTCAAAGCCAGTGCAAATGCTGGGACAGCAGCATTTACAGAGAGAGTCAGTGAGGCAGCACTTCAGCTGAGCCTGGGCAGGGCTGTGTGGAGCCTGGGCTGCTGGAATGGATCCTGGCCTTCCCCTGAGCGTGGGGTTTTAATCATCTTGTCTGTCTGCTGCAAACTGCTTCTGCCTGCAGTGTGGTGAAGCTCCTGGCAAATGATGGGAAGCACTCATGAATAAACAAATCAAATTCTTTCTTCAGTGTTCACCCCCCACCTGTCCCTGCCACAGCCCTGCTCAGCCAGCCTGGGGCTGCAGAAAGCACTGAACCTCCTGAGTGAGAAATTGAACCTCCTGAGTGAGAAATAATTTCCTGAGAAGCTCCCTGGGCAGGAGAATTGCAGCCTAAGCCCTTCTCCTTGGGCAGAGACAGCTCAGTGCTCTGCTGCCAAAATCCCTGAGCTGTTTCAGTGCCTGAGACTGAAGCCTTGCTGCTGGAAAGGAGTGCAAGGTGGCATGAAGTGTGAAAAATAGCAATCACTTGGTTTTAAAATTTTAAAAGTTTAATAGTAATAAAATGGCTATAAAAATAGTAATATAATTAATAATAATTTGGACAATTAGGATTTAGGACAATACAAGACAAAAAAACCAAAGAGTTATGGACAGTCTGGGTACCTCTTTCTGGGCAAAATAAGCCTGAAAAAGGACCCACGTTAACAGAGGACTAACCCTTAAAATCAACAGCCTGTTGCATATTCATACATCTCATACATGATGCATAAATTCCATTCAAACACAGGATTCTGTCTGGTCAGTGTCAGCTTCTTCCTCTGAATCCTGAAGGCTGAGCAAGGTGGGAAGAACTCGATAAATGGGCAATAAATTCTTTTTCTCTGAAAGATTGAGGTGTCCTGTGGCTGCTATCTCAGTGAGAATACCTCATTCCTCTCTTTAAAAAGTATCTTACACAGCATAGTTTCTATTTTAACCTTATGTTTTAACTTAAAACTATATTTAACACACTACTTAAGAAAATTAATACAGCATAACTTTCTAACATAACACATATAACATTCATTTTAATATTTGTGAAAAGACAATAATAAAATACACTTTTATTTACATGAAGGAAGGATTCCTGCTTTTTATTCTCCTGGTTAAGCTCTCCCAGCTTGTGAAGCCCTACAGGTGCAGCAATGCTCCCTTCTCAGCCAATCACCAGACATATTCCCTTACTGCTAACCAGGCAGAAAAGGAGGAAGGATCCCATTCTGTAGTTGTACCAAGGCAGGATTCTCAGTGTTCCAGTGCCTGCTTAGAGCTCCAGCATTGCTGTGTCATGGCTAGGGAGTGCAGCAGAATGGCAGTGTGGGATGATGGATCCCTGTCCCTGTGGAAGTTTGTGACAGGCAATGGGAAGGGCAGTGTTCCAGCTGTTTGCAGGATTCAGGAGATAAGAAAACATCTGGGGCTCCTGTTCAGGGTTCTTTGCTCACTGTATGGGATTGTTCCTGGAAAGGGGCTTTTTACAGGAGTGTGTAGTGTCAGGATAAGGGGGAATGGCTTCAGACAGAGTAGGGTTGGCTTTGATATTAGGAAATATTCTTCCTGGTGAGGGTGGTGAGGCCCTGGCCCAGGCTGTCCAGGGAAGTTGTGGTTGCCCCATCCCTGGAAGTGTTCAGGGCAAGGTTGGACAGAGCTTGAAGCAACCTGGTGTGGTGGAAGGTGTCCCTGCCTATGGCAGGGGTGGAACAAGATGAACTTTAAGGTCCTTTCTAACCTAAACCATCCTGTTTCTATGCAATGAAACAAAGAGGGAAATAAATAGCCCAAGGCAACTGCCCTGCCCTGCTGCCACATTAACCCTTAGAGGCTCTTTGTGCACACCCTCCTAACCATTCATTTGGGCTGAGCCACTGCCTGGCCCTTGTCTGCTTGTGCTCTATCTGTAGTTAAATGGGAGCTGTAAGTGGAGTGTGGTGGAACAAATTGTGTTAATAACAGGGGCAGACTTGGCATTGGAGCCAGCCCCAGGAGGAGATGCTGTAATTCCAGGCTTTCCTCTTACACCACCTCCCTAGGATATTATTTTCTCCCTGGTGCCTGACAGATAAATGCACAGAAATGTCTTGCATCAGCAGTGCTGTCAGACTCATTGCTGTGCAATACTGACTTGTGCTGTGGGGATGGGTAGGCACAGAGAAGAGTGGTTGGATGAAAAGAAACTATAAAAATTCCTGTAGCATCACATAGGGAGGGCTGGCCTGTAATTCCTGGCTGTCTGTTTCTCCCCTTACCTTAAAAGCCAGTTCTGGCATTTTCAGATGACATGGTATTTATTCAATCAGATAAAGCTGCTGATAGCCAGATTGCACATGGATGTAAAGTTGTATTTATAGGTAAACCTGATCACAAGCCAGTTTTCCACCTTTCACCAGCTGCTGAATGCTGACCCTGGCTGTGGCTAGGACACAGTCCCAGTATGTGATGGCCACTTGCATTATTTCAGGTGGTCTGTAGTAGCTGTGCCTTTGCCAAAAGCACTCTCTGTAAATCAAACATTATTGTACAGTGATTTTCAATGCTAGAAGAGCTAAACTGTGTATGATGGGAAATCACAGCTCCTGCCTCTCTCAGCTTGGGTGGAAATAGGATCCTTTAGTGGGTGGATGAGTATGGGGGGGAGGAAATAAACCCAGCCATTCATCCCAAAGGAAAGGATGGTTGCTCCAGTTTAGAGGCTGGGTAGAGCCTGCAGGCTCAGCTCTAACCAGAGCAAGCCTCATTTGTCCAGTAAAGGGGATTACCAAGTTCCTGTTGGCATCACCCAGGAGCAGAGTGGAATAAGCTGATGTGCTGCACACAGAGTACTTGCAGGTCCTCAGAGTGTGAAGCAAGTGTCCTGTGTGTGCCCTTTTCCCCCACCCCTTCCTTGTTCTTCCCAGAGGTGAGCAGCAGGAGTCTGAGGGCTCTGCTGAGCCTGTCCCCAGCACAGGACACAGGAGCTCTGCAGAGGTTTGTCCCTGTGCTGGGCACTGTGTTCCCACCTCACCCTCTGCTCAGCAGCCCTGTCTTGTGGAAACACTTTGAAAATCAATTTCAATGGGTAAATTAGGATGTTAAACAGAAAGGTCCGTGTTATCCCTGGATTTCTGCATGGGAATATGATCAAGCAGGTGCCTCAGCCATTGCTGACCCCTAAGTGTGTGTGACATGGCTGGGGACAGTCCCTGATGGCCTGAAAGGCACAGAGAATTTTATTTTTCTCTTCTTCCTGAACAGTATTGCAATCAGAGCAATGCCCAGAGGCCATAGGGTGAGGGCAGCTCCTGAGAGGTTCTTGTGTAGAGCAGGAAAGTGCTGTGGGATGAGCAGAGAGCAGACACAGGCTGGAGGGGTGTCACTCTCAGCAGCCACACTGAGATCTGTCCTGCTGCTCATCTGGTCAATAGTTTAAATGATAATTTAGCTCTGTTGAAGACAGTGTCAGGAAGAATTAGCATCATTGTCTTTTCAGCCCTGGGATACTGTTCTGCATCCCCTTTTTGGTCCATTTGATGGGATAAGCACAGTAAAATGTGATGTCAGTGATACTACAATCAGCAGGGAAGGTGTGTGGATGTCCTTCCATGACTGCATGGTGCTGCTCTGACTCACCAGTACACACAGACCTGCTGAATATCCTCTGAATATCCTTGGCTTCATTTTGTTATGAAGGTCAAGCCTTAGACTGTCCCTTGAAGCTACTGGGGATGTTTCACTGGGGAAGGGATGCACTAACTCAAGCTGTGTGCTGCAGCCTCCCAGGACTTGAGGTTGGACCCAGACTTCAGAGCTGTGCTGTTTAGTCCATAAAGGTGCAGTTATTTTTAGTCTAGGAAAACTCTTTTTTTCCTTTACATAAGCAATTTTTTAGGGATTTAGAATTGGTAAATCTAACATTGCTACTCTAAAATACATGAACCCAGAGTTTTCTGGCTCTGTTTTCTGTAGGAAAATAATACTGTGTTGATACCTTTTAATGTTCATTTTAATATTAAGAAAATGAATAACTGCAAGTCATTCAGGATGAAGCTGCAAATTTAATTTTAAATTTATTTTTAAGCTTTCTTCCTTGAATTTAGGCGTTAGCAGAGATGGGCTAGAAAGGTTTAGATCATATGCTAATTTACTCCAAGTATGAACCTTCAGAACCACCCTCATCCTTTTCTATCTTCCTTTTCTCAGCCCAAGTGTCCAAGTGGGAGTGTTTAGAGCAGAGGCAGCTGCTGTCAGTGCCACACACTCTCAGAGCAATGATCAAAACACAGCTCCCTGACTTGCCCTCCTCGAGTCTCCTCAGTAAGCTGCAAACTTTAAGAACTTAAAGTGTAAATGCAGGAGAAAAAGGTGTTATTTATTCTTATTTCTGCATGGTGGGGGAAGAAACCTGTGCTGGAGGATGCCTGGCAGTGAGCTGAGCCCCACTCCCATGCAGTTTGTCAGCACTGTTGCTGTAGGAAGTGAAGATAAAAGTGGAACACCTCTATTTTGAGCAGTTTCCACATCCTGGGAGCAAGCTGAGGAGCAAGGAATGCTTTCTTGGCTCAGCTGTGCTCTTGCTGTCATGTCCCAGAACTGCTGGAAAACCTGTCAGTGCAGGTCATGGTTCTACAGGCAAGGCAGGTATGAGCTCTGCCTGCAGGGCTTAAACTCCCTTGCGGCCTCATGAGTAACTTGGTGCAATTAGTTGACACCTTGAAATATATTTTAATTATATTTACTCTAATATCTTCTACTCAGGCAGTCCCAAAATCACTTTGCAGTTATTGGAAAGACACCTTAAGTGCTGGGAGAACTTGGTGTGAGAACTATTCAATATTGTTTCCAGTTTTTGTAACTTCCAGAAAGAGCTCTTTTTAGCTGCTTTAGGCTTGGTTGTTGTTGTTTTTCCCAAAACAACTACAAAAGCAATGACATTTTATGTTTGGTAAAATATAAGATGTTATTGCTTTTATAACAGTTAGATAGAACTCAGTGTGGGAACTATCTGCTGATTTTATCAGATCTGAAACAGAAAATACAGATGTCTGTCTCCCTCTTAAATACCTGTCCCAGCTTCAGTCCCCTTGTGTCAGTGGAAGTGTGGCAGCAGCTCTCTGACCAACACACAACTTTCCCAGGCATTGTGCTGGAAAAAGGCTGTGAAAAGATCAGAGAAAAGAGTAAGAAACAATTCTTAACTTGCTGCACCTGTTGTTGTGAACACATGGAATGTGTTATAGAGATTTGTTTACCAAAAGATGGTTTCTTAATTAGTGATAGTGTTTTAATTAAAGGACCAATCAAGTCATGTTGTATCGTAACTGTCTATAAAAACAATGGGTTTCTTAATAAAAACAGAGATTGATCAGCCTTCTGTGAATTATAGAGTCTATAATAATTATTACCTGGCCAGGGGCCTGTTACTACACAGTGCTGCCATCTCTAATCCTTTTATCTAAACCTCTTCTCTCTGAACATCTCCTCTCTGGCAGGTCAGTGGCACAAAGACAGGAGTTGTGCGCCCCACATTGGGCGCCAATTAAAAAATTTAAAATGCGGTGTTAGAGTGGATGGTGCTGCTGCCTGTCCCTTGTCCCCAGCAAGCTTCTCCTGCTGAAAGGCAGGCTGAGTTAACATTCAGGCAGTGCAGTCAAACCCCCATTCAACACTCACTGGCTCAGCAGTAGAGGCAGGAAAGGTTTTTTTGCAAGGGTTTATTGCAGCAGAGTAACGCTGTCACCGAAGGAGGAACCTGGGGAAAAGAGGAAACCCACGTGGAGCAGGCAGCTTATAAAGAGGAAGGTGTGGGGGGCAGAGGGGCCTGGTCTCCAGGGGTAGGGAATGACCACCAGGGGTACCAAGCCAGTGACAGGGGCAGGAGAAACCCAAGGAAGTTGTGACACCAAGTCCATGAGGAGACTGTTTTTCCCTTTGGGAGGGATGACTCTGTGGTAAGTAGTTAATGTTTCCAGGGCTGAGGGCTTGGGGATTGACCAAGGGGGGACAGTTCATGGGATGCTACAAGTGCTGCCATCCCTAATCCTCATATCTAAACCTCTTATCTCTAAACATCTTCTCTAAACCCTTCTCTCTGAACACCTTCTCTCTGCAGGTCGGTGGCACGAAGACGGGAGTGGTGCGCTACGTGGGAGAGACGGACTTTGCCAAAGGAGAGTGGTGTGGAGTGGAGCTGGATGAGCCTCTGGGCAAGAACGATGGGGCAGTTGCTGGCACAAGGTACTGGGTGCCCTGAACCCATGCACACCTCCTGGGGTGCCTGGGGAGCAGATGCCATCAGCCCCAGGAGGAGAGTTGGGTTTTTTCTTCAAGTTAGGTCTTAGGAGCTCTTAGAGGAACCTGTCAGACTTGAGATGGCTCAGCTACTTGGAATGGCGTAAAATTAGCAGGATGGCTTCTGAGATAGCACTGGAAACAGAAAAGTTTTAATAAAAGGTAAAATAACAAAGCTCTCACAGAGAAAAACTGAGCTAGGGGCAAGAGCTTCTTGCTCTTGCTAAAAACACTCTACACAAGCGATTATTTCTTTTGTTCTCTTCTTTTTCTACTTCGGGGGGACTTTCTGGCTTCTGTCTAATTAGGTAGCCTTAGGTTTGAGGTGAAGTCTCAAAGGTCTTATTAGGTGTCTTTTTTACCAAATTGAGCAGAGAAACTTCTGGCCTTTTTTCTTTTTTTAAGGAGACAAAGGATAATTTGGTCACTCTATTAGCATTTCTACAGAGAGTTAGGGCTGTGCTTGGTTGCATGTTGTGGGCTGGGAGGAAGAGTCTAATTTTGAGTCTTTTAGGTTTTTGGTTAGCCATGCAGGGAGATCAATACAAACCTCATCACTGGGCCATTTTGAAGCAGGATCACATAACTTCTGTGAAAGAGGAACCTGAATGGCTTCAGGAAACAGGAGAAAGTGGGGAGAGAAGATAACTTACAGTGGGATTTAATTTTTGCTAGAAACTGATTCTGTTGATTGTATTAGCTCTGCTTTCTATCACGCATTCCTGGCATAAACTTTCTTCTTGTGCTATGTCACCCTGTCAGAACTGCAAACAACAAAGATTTTACATTCTTTTCTCCTCACTTAATGTTTTATTCTGTTCCCTTCAAATTTCCAGAGAACTTAAAGAATAGTTGGTGGTTGTTTTCTGTCCCTGTACTAATTCTGTAGTGGGATAGGAGTCTGCTGATTGATCTTACCACCTCTGACTCCCTAGGCACCTCCACTCTTTTATTTTCCAAAAAAGCCCTTGTTAGTATCTATAAAAGTAGGCAGAGACATCTCACAGGCTTGCTGGGAAGCTCCTTCTGTTCTTGTGGAATTTAGTTAATGGAATGACCCAGGCCTTGGATCTTGAGCTTGGTGGTGTTCAAATCTGAATAATACAGCAGCTCTGACCATGCTTTAAATACAGGTGCAACTGATTCCTTGTCCTACACAAGTTCCTTCAGTGGGAAATACTGTTGGTTTCTTGGAGCTTCTGAAGGCAGTCTGGCTTTAGAGGTGAGATTTATCTTTCACAGAATTAACTAGGTTGGGAAAGACCTTTGATATCATCAAGTCCAGCCTATAACTTTGAAACTGAGGAGCTAAGAGTTCCTGCCTTGTTAGATCTCAGGTTCTGTAATAAAAGTTTCTTATGTTGGGTCAGCCTTTTTTTTGTCCAGCAGCCATGTGCTTTCATTTAAATGAAGAGAAAATCTGTCTTGTTCAATGTCAGGGCAAGAAAGCAGTAAATGATTGGCAGCAGATGGCTGAGTTTCAGCCTGTTCTCAAAATAAAAGAAGCAGGGTGGCAGAGAATAAATCATGGAGTGAATGCAAGGCTCTGCTTTCTTTATCATACAATTCAAACTATCTGGAAGATTAATCTTCATGGTGCTCAGGAAATATTTATTGTCTCTGTGCATGTGGAAGGTGTGAAAGGCAGATGTGGGTGTAGTGCTGTCTGCCTCTCATCCTCATACCTCTGTTGCTGTGGTTTGGAAATCCAGCTTTTGGAAGTTATCTGTCTTCTGAAACTGCTGCATCTTGGTTGAGGCAGTTCTGGTGTGTGCCCTGTCTGCAGAGGCTCCTCCTTTGGTTTGCTGCAGCACTGTCCATGTCTGTCCTTGTGAGCCTCCATCCAGCCTTTGATTTTCTTGTTGCAGGTGCCCATTCAGCAGCAGTGGTTTGGAGGAGCTTGCAGAGTCAAACCAAGTCCCTTGGTGCATGCTGGCACCCCTGAGTGCCCTCCCTGTGTGCTGTGGCAGCCTGGAATTCTTGAGGCTGTGCTGATCTTGTCCTGCCAGGATCAGCCTGGGCAGGGCTCTCCAGACTCTGCAGGCTGTGCTTTGGTGATGGTTGCCATCTAGTGAGCATTGGCCAGCAAGGCCAGCGCTGCCTGCTGCAGCAGGAGAATAAACCAAAAACTGCAGCTCAAGGCAGCAGAGGTAGCACAGAGCCTTTGGTGACATTGTTCATCTTTGCTGCCATAGGCAGCTCCACCTGAATTGGTGGTAAACTGGCTGAAATTTGGGGTGGCTTGTTGGATTAAGCCCTTTTCTGACCCAGAGATGGGGTAACTGAGAGATGTTTTAAAATCTTTTATCCCATTTTCAGTCTCATGTGAAGGGTAAGACAATACAGATGTTATAATTCATGCCATCACAATCAGAAGCCAACTATATCTTAATTACAATACACTGTAAGTGTTTCTTGGTCTATCAGCTTTTGCCACACCATGCTGTAGATGACTTAAAGCTAATAATTGAAATTACTCCTTGTGGGTCTTACTACAAGGCATCTTTCATAGTTCTATTTCTCCAAAGTATCCAGTCTTATTTGTAAGGCCATCATTTGAAACTTGGTTCTAGTTCCAGTTCTCTCTCAACAACATCTGTCCTGTTCCATCGCACTTCTAAGTCAGCATTTCTCATCTCAAGGTCTGCACGCAGATACACTGTGTGAGCCTGCTGTCAGGCTTAGAGAGTTCTCTATAAATCCATTTCCCACAGTGGGTCAGTGATTTTCCTGCAGGTTCAGGTGTGGATATGCACCAAGGGCAGGCCCTGGGGCTGGCCTCTCCCAGCAGCTGTGGCTCTCCAGTGAAGGCTGCTGCAGGCTGTGGGTCAGTAGCAGTGGCCCAGGGGACTGGGTGTCACTGTGGGGAGCCCCTGTGTGCATCAGATGGTGAGATTTGCATCAGATGGTGCTGATCTGCACTGAGCTTTGCTGCATCTGCTTTCTTGTCTGCACAGGAGACTGCAGAGGTGCTGGTGTGGTTTGGTTTGGTGTCAGTTCCACAAAGCCAAGCAAGTTCCATGGACTCATCTCTAGTAATTTAAATGTTACCTGCTTATTTTACTCAGGTTCTCCCTTGTTCCCTTATTTTACTGTTCTCCCTTCTCTCTCTGCTCCAGTCACAGTCCTTGCTCACTAAACTGCCCAGACCTTTTACTTTTGCACTCTTTGTCAGCCTTGGACACTGAAGATTTTTCCATCTATTTCAACATTTCCTGTGCTGTTTTCCACCTGCAGTTTGCATTGCCATCACTTTTCTGCCCTGTTTCCTCTCTGTAATGTGAGTTCAGAGCTCCTCCACACTCACTGAGAGCAGCTCTTGGTTTTCATGTAGATTTTTTTTTTCTGCCAAGTGGTTTGGACCCAATTCCTGCTTCTGAATTATAAAAGTTAATTGCAACCACTTTCAATCTGTACTGAAAGAAAATGGGCAGACATAGTGATGCAAGTTTCAACTTGCTAAGAGCTGTCAGAGGCTTTTAAGGGAATTAACATTTGGGATTGTTGTGCAGCCACACTACCAGGCTGTGCTTACAGCAGGCAGAGCTGTGGAAGGGGCTGTTGGCCTGCCTGTGCCTACTGGAATTTGGGAAAATGATGCTGAGCAGGGCCTTGGCACGTTTGCAAGAGGTCAGCCTGTGGTGTGGCTGCTTTTTAAAACCCAAGGGCCTGTGTTGGCTGGAAGTCAAGGAGGCTGAGAGATTTGGGGTTGTAGAGGGGTTGTTTAAAGTTTGTTATAGAAAAAACATGGATCTGGGCTGATGTTTAAAGTTTAATTTTATTCTCATCTGGCTGGAGAGTAGGCTGTTCCCTGGCCTCCCAAGCACACAGGGGTCTGCCTGTGACACAGCTGTATGGCTGCCAGCTCTTAAAAATAAAAGGGAGTTGGGGAAACAGCTGCTCACATCTGGAGAGAGAGAAAATTTGTGCTAGTAAAACTGGATTTGTGTAATTTAGTCATTAGAACCTGCTTTTTTATATTAACATAGGGCAGATTGTTTTATGAGCCTGCATTTAGTCCTGTTCTTGCTGGGAGGCCTGTGAGGAAGCTCCTAGAGGAGCTTTTTGTGTTGGCTGCTCTCCTGGAATGAGGGGACACCATGCTGGAGCTGATCTGGTTTTTCTTGCTGCAGTGCAGCTGGGCAGCAGCAAATGAACCTTGGCTTTGCTGGTCAGCCAAGGCCATGAGGAGTTTCCAGGGTTTGACACTGACTTGTGGCTCAATTTTATTCTGGAAGAGGGCTCTGGAGACACAGAATCTTTGGCTCAGTTGTGGAAGAGACCATGCACTGTAATTATCTGGTCCTCCCTTTTTTCCATGCTTTCATCTTTCCAAGTTTGATGGCATAGGAAACAGTTCCTCTGCCACCCAAAGGAGGTGGCACATGCTGGAGTTTGCTGTAATTGCATTTTTAGCTTCAAAGGTTTGAGCTGCTGTTTTGGTAGGAAAGATTTTTACCCTGTGGAACATTTGTACAGAGCTGTGTGATTCAGATCTTTTTATTTGACAGAGTCACAGGGTAGGTCAGGTTGGAAGGGACCACAGTTGGTCATCTAAGTCCAACCTTCCTGCTCAGGAAGGGTTATCCTGGAGCACAGGGCATAGTATGCTGTCCAGAATGTTCTGGAATATCCCCACATTTTCTCTGGGCAGCCTGTTCAGGCCTTGGTCGCTGTACAGGGAAGAAGTTCTTCCTCATTTTTAGCTGGAACTTCCTGCCCATGGCCTCTTGTCTCATTGCTGAGCTCACAGAGTAGAGCCTTGTCCACCTTCTGACACCTCCTGCAGACACACTTTACTACATCACTATCCTCAAAGCAGGGTAAAGAGCACACCAAGTTTTGGTTGTGAGGAAGGAGTGCTTGTGCTGTGCTGTGTTTATGTTCTGGGATTTGTGCTCTCCAGGCTCCCAGCTGTGTCTTTCCTGGCATCTCCCCAAAGTGCACAGCAGCTGGTGCTTGGCAATTACCTCAGGTCCCCTTGCTAAAGCAACACAAATGCAAACAGGGAGATTGCCAGTGCTGCAAGCAGGAAAGGAAAATAATCCAACTGCTTGTACACAGGAAAGCAGTTGCTTACCTGAAGAAAAGCAGACTCAGGGGTGACCTTATCATTCTCCACAACTCCCTGGAAGGTGCCTGTTCTCAGCTGGGGCTGGGCTCTCTCCAGGCAGCACTGCAGAACCAGAGCGCACAGCCTTAGGCTGCATCAAGGGAAATACAAGTTGGATATTTGGAAAAAGTTTTTTACAGAACGGTGATAAAGTTCTGGAATGGCTGCCCAGGGAGGTGGTGGAGTCCCCATCCCTGAGTGTGTTTAACAAAGCCTGGATGTGGCACTGGGTGCCAGGGTTTAGTTGAGGTGTTGGGGCTGGGTTGGACTTGATGATCTTTAAGGTCTCTTCCAACCTGGTCATTCTGTGAATTCTGTGAAACAATTCCACAGCAAAGCACCCAGACATGAGCTGTGAGTTTTATACTGCTTGGCAATGCCATTCTGCAAGGCTTGGGTGAGTTGGCTGCCCTGCCACTCCTCACTTGGTGCATCTCCTGTGTTCCAGGTATTTCCAGTGCCCACCCAAGTTTGGCCTCTTTGCTCCCATCCACAAGGTGATCAGGATTGGGTTCCCATCAACCAGCCCTGCCAAGGCAAAGAAGAGCAAGAGGATGGCCATGGGGGTGTCAGCCCTGACCCACAGCCCCAGCAGCTCCTCCATCAGCTCCGTCAGCTCCGTGGCCTCCTCGGTGGGGGGCAGGCCCAGCCGCAGTGGGCTGGTGAGTACCTGCTGGGGGTCTCTGCTCCTCACTCTGCCTCTGTGACCCAGCTTCACAACACAGGAGGGTTGGGCCTTTCCTTCTTTCTTCTTAGTTCAGCTGCTCCTTCACCATTCATTGGGTGAGGGGAATGGAGGGTGGGGCTGTCACCCACCTCACAGTTGTCAGAACCCAGGACATTGCTCTGACTCGAGACCCTGGCAGGGGGCTCAGAGACCTTGGCACAGAGTCAAAAACACCTGTGCCTTTCATTTTATCCCATGGAAACAATTACCAACTTTGTGTGAAGACTTACAAGCCACAAGGGTTTGAATAGAATGTTAGTGAATTTATCACAGGGTGAAAATGTAGAATTTTGGGGTTTTTAGAATGGGGATTCAGGAGGCAAGATGGAGGAATCTGGGCGTGTCCTGTCTTTGTCCTTCTTTTTCTTGTCCTCCATCTTCTGCTGTGATGGTGACACTTTTGGATTGGTTTAGAGACAAACTGTCTAACATTGGTGATAGGTATCGGAAAATTATTGTAAATAAAGTACAGGTAGTTTTTAGTATAAAAGGATAACACCACCCCAAGGGTGTCAGTGTGCCACGGACTGACCTGCTAGACAGATCTCAGGAGGTCAGAGAAAGAATGTTATAGATAAGAGAAAATAAACAACCTTGAGAACCAGAACAGAAGAATCCTGACTCCTTCTTTGGCTGCCAGGCTGGAAAATGAGACCTTTTAACACCTCTGGGTTGTCCTGACCACAGAGACTCCGTGACACAGTCTCCCTCCTAGTAAGGGACACCAAGCAGCTGAGACCACTGAAGAGCCTGGAGTGCAGTTTGCAGTGGGATGAATCTCAGTTCTGCTGTCAAGAGCAGGTCTAGAAGGGATCCCTGCAGAAAAAGGACACTGCTTCCAGTCTCACATGGTCATGCTGCTCCACTGAGCAGCTGTGCAAAGCTCCTGCTGTGGCTGTCTCACTGTGGAGGGTGACAGTGTCCTGGGTCACATGCCTGGGGTTTTGGCAGGTGCTCAAGCAGGCAGAAAGCAGAGCAGGCAGTGATCCTATTAAAAATTCTGGCTCTGCTGTGGTGCTGCTGCAGAACACCCACAGCCCTCTTGGCTGGGACAAGGGTGCAATGTCATTCCTGGGAGTGGATCCAATAACCCCATACTGGTCTCCACTTGAGATCAGCCTACCCAGCTGAGCTCATCTTTGGGATTTCATCAGTGCAGGCCATCAATAAAATGTACCTAAGAAGGCAGAGGATAGAATGCATGATAATTTTCCCTGACCCAGTTCCCACCCCATGTTGTGTCCTTTGGGAAATGCTGTGTTCACTGCAGTGCAGAAGAGAAATTGAGCTTGTGAGCATCGTCCAGATGTTTCTCAGACTTCACCTCCCCTGTAGGGCCCAGAGCTGGAGCAGCAGCTCTCCTCAGCTGAACAAATGATAATTAGGTGAGCAAATCCCAGGTTTAACAGGGGACTTCAGCTGTTCTGGGCTGGAAAGGACACAGCTTTACCCTGTCACTGACATATTTTATGAAAATCCTTTCACTAGGATTTTTCTCCTGAGAAGCTGAGAAGCCTCAGAAAAGAAATGTAAACAATAATTATCTGATTGCTTGGAATGTGGTCTGGAGATGGTTTATCAATAGGTGCATCTTTGATTGGTCTCATGTGGATTGTTTTTAATTAATTAAGTAAATTAATGGCCAATGACAGCCAGCCATGTCGAACTCTCTGAGTCTGTAATGAGATTTTATTATTCATTCTTTTCTTTCTGATGTCTCCTTTCTCTTTCTTTAGTATAGTTTTAATATATCATTTTCTTTTAATATAATATAGATCATAAAATAATAAATCAGCCTTCTGAAATAGTCAAGATTCTTATCTCTTCCCTCGTCCTGGGCACCCACAAACCCCACCACATCATCCCATCTCTTTTGAACTCTTTCCCAGCTGACAGAGACCTCGTCTCGCTATGCCAGGAAGATCTCTGGCACCACAGCCCTGCAGGAGGCCCTGAAGGAGAAGCAGCAGCACATTGAGCAGCTGCTGGCAGAGCGGGACCTGGAGAGGGCAGAGGTGGCCAAGGCCACCAGCCACATCTGTGAGGTGGAGAAGGAGATTGCCATCATGAAGGCCCAGCACGAGCAGGTAGGAGGTGACAGCTGTTAAATGTCTGAATATTTGATATCCCCTGGAAGTGTCAGATCATAATGTTACTGATTTATTTAAAAAATACAGATATTGATCTAGTACTGATATCCAACTGTGACGGACAAAAACTCTCTAACAGTTTAGAGCTAGAAAGTGAATGTTTATTGCAGGATAGCTCCCAAATACACATCCCAATTTACAGGTGATTACAGAGTCCTTTTATCTGTACAAGTATTGAATACCCAAAATACAAATACATATTCATAACTTTGGTACATCCCATTCCCTGCCCCATATGGTAATTAGTTCAAAGGCCATTAAGCATGACTAGTTTGTTCCTTAAAATGGGTCGGTGGTCCCTTTCATGGGAAGGGGTCCCAAAATGAGGAAGTAAATGAAGTCTTCCTCATTCTGACCTTTCTACCTTCTCAATGCAAATATCACAAATGAACCCATTGGTAGAACTTCCATTCCCCATCTTCAATTTTTTTCACAACAGAGGAGGCCTACAATTGTCTCATGTTCCTAAAAGCTATTTATCAGTTTCTATATTCTTCATTATAAACCCAGCTAACCAAACATTGTGTTGACAAGCAATCAGTTATTAGTTAACTACTAACTCCTAACTTCATCAAGGCCTACCCATTTACTTTAATTAACTCCAGTAAAGGTTATCTCTAACTAAGATTTTAGCTCCTCTAAAATCTCTAAATTCCTTAAAGTTTGTGTCTCATTACCAGTGTGTGTGAAACTGGGACTCTGAATTTCTGCCTCTGTTGTGGTGAGTTAAGCTGAGGTGTGTTATAGTTGCCTCTTTGAGCCAGGTCTTATAAGCTCTCAGAGGTCTATAACACACCCAAGATAGCTTAGCTACCCTTAGAAGCATAAAAATCAGCAAGATGGCTTTTGTTGCAGTGTTAGAAACAAAAAAGTTTAATAAAAGACAAAATGACAAACAAACAAACAAAAAAAAACCAAACCAAACCAAAACAAAAAAACCGAGCCAAGTGCTAAAGATTCTTGCTCCTGATAAAACACTTCCCAAAAGCAATTAGTTTCTTTGTTAAATTCTTTTTCTAATAAATTGCCCAAGCTGGACTTTTCAGCTTCTGTCCAATTAGCTGTCCTTAAGTTTGAAGTCCCCTAGGCCTATAAAGTGACTTTTTCACTTAATCAAAACCAGAAACTTCTGAGCTTCTTTCCTTTTTGAAAGGACTAAAAGTAATTTTGTCACTCCATCAACAAAATCCACATTCCTGTAGAGGCTCTTTCTCCACCCTCCCAGTGTCACGTGTGCTGTCCCTGCCCTGAGCCAGGAGTAGGGAAAGGGCTGTGCCAGATCAGAGGCAGCAGGCAGCTTGTGTCTGCTGGATCAATAAATTCCAATGCTGAAATGCAAATTTGTTCCCCTCAGCCACTGAATCTGGCTGTGGCTGGGACTGCATTGCAGTGATTTTATGGTGCTGAGGGCATCAGCCCAGCTCATATGGCACTGCTTTCCCACCAGAGAGGATTCTTTTATAAAATTAATGAAGGCAGGAAATCTGGAAGGAAAACAGGCTGATCATAATAAGTTAGTGTTTGTTTGTTTGTTTGTTGCACAAGCATTTGTACAAAGGATATTTTATGTATTAAAATGCTTAAAGAGAGTTGTGTCTGTGCTATTTGTCAGTATGTGGTTCTTCATTGTCTGCTGCTGTCCTAAATTCTTTACTCATGCTTTTAAAGCCAAGTGAGCTACCTGGGAGCAGGGATGGCACTGTATTTTTGTGTGGTGGGTCACACCTGCCTGTCAGAAATGCAGGAGAAATTGGGAAATCAGCTTCAAGCTAACATTCTTCTCATATATTGTTTTTTCCAGTAATTATCAGTAAGAAATGAATTAACAGAAGTCTGAAATACTTCTTTTGCTTCGTGACTAGGCTGAGTTGCACTGGCAACCTCTGACCAGATTTTCAGAACTTTTCAGGCTTCAAGTTCTTAACTCTAATCAGAGCTGGAGTCTCTAAAAGGGTCAGGTCAGAGAGGCACTGAAGGATGGATCCCTTCCAGCTGCTGGAGATGGAGCTGTTTTTGTTGCCTTGATCCCTACATCCTGAGCTCTTTGGAAAATGTGCTGTTAGCACAGCATCCTCTGAAACAGATCATCAAAACTTTCTGTTCCCTAGTTCTGAACAGCCTTGAACTACTTCAGGCATGGCTAATTTTTGTGTCTTGGGCTCATTTTTTGCTCCAGTATGTCACGGAGGCAGAAGGAAACCTGCAGCGAGCACGAGCCTTGGTGGATGGGATGCAGAAGGAGAAGATTGAGCTGCTGAACCAGCTGGAGGAGGAGAAGAGGTAAAGCAGGGGTGGAGGGGTGTGAGGGAGGTGAAGTCATGTGTGGACAGTGCTGAAGCCTTTGGATGGTTTTGCCTTAAGAATACACATATATTTGTGAAATAAAAATTGGGTCATAAACAGGCACGTGCACCTTGGGCCATCACAGACCCTCCTGTACAACCTGGATTTGCTGAGGTCCCCTTCCTCTCTTCCGTTTATGATGGGCCGATCTTGAGGATGTTCTTTGTGAGGAAGGGAAGCCAAACTGAGTGCAGCCTCACTGCAGTGTGATTCACATGCCAGAGGCCCCCATCCATGCAAATCTCCTGGTGCACACATTTCCCCTCTGGATCAGAGTGATCTGCATGTCATTCTTGGAGTCCAGGTACTCCATGTGTATAATTAAACTCTTCAGTGGGAATAGAAAAACATTTATGTGTATTAAATAACTGAAAACAGTGTTGATTTCAATTATTGATGCTCCTCCTGAGGATGAAATGTTCTTTCATGCATGTCTCCCCATAGTCCTGGTAGGCAGCTGACTTTCCCAGCTCTAGGAGGCTCTTTAACCCCAGACAGCTGAATTTTCATCTAAATATCAACAGATGCCTCCCTCCTCTAATTAGAGGAGGTTTAGACAAGGAATCTTGTTTATGAAGAGAGTTATGTACACTCCCAGCTATTTTTATCTGTAACAGACTCATAGTCCTTACATCTGGCTGCAAACTAAACATCCTCAGCCTTTTTCTTTATAATCAGTAAAGAGAAAAAGAGGGATGAATCTAGCAGAAAATGGAATTATTTTCTACTGTTGCTGGCTTCTGCCTTCCAAAAGAGAAGAGTTTCCTTGGCCTGTCTGAGTTAATGTGTGTGGTTTTATTGCATTTATGCATGACTGGCCTGTAAACTCTATGGGGAAGGCTCTTCTGTCTGCCAGGGTAACTCACAGTTCCCCACCCTCTGCCAAGGAGGCAGAGGATCCCATTCCATTCCCTTGGGATATTTTGTATGGATTTGGCACAGGAATTGCCCGGTGCTTGCATAACAAGGTTTAAATAATCCGAAACCTTGCTTTGCTTGTTTTTAGGCTCCTGTGTCAGAGAACAGTAATTGTGTGTCTGAGGGGATGCACTTTACAAAAAGGCCACCTTTGTGTGTGGAAAGCTGCTTGTAACTGTCCTGCTCTATGGGACTTGCTGCTCAGTTTCTGCTGAGCTTTTGTATTCAAAGGTGATCTGAATCCCTTTCAGACTTTGATTCTGCAGGCCATGATGTGATTTTTTAAATATTGGGTGGGTGGTTTTAATTTAATTTTATTTATTTTATAATAAAATAAATAGGGAAGGGTGGTTGGTGCATGCATCTTCCCCTTTGGGAGCAGTGAATTGTCCCTTTGTAAGCTCCAAGTGTTTCAGCCTGGCTGTGTAATTATGGCAGTGGGACCAACCCTGGTCCAACTGCCATAATTTTATCCACCCAATTAAATTTATAAATGTATATATAATACATTTATAAATTTAATTGGCTGGATAAAAGCTTATCAGTAATTTTTTGTGCAGCTTTTCTATTTGTTGGGAATGGCCTCTTCATTGATGGTTGCAGTGATCCCATAGAACTTGGTTAACAGTGGAAAGGCTGATGTGCAGTGGCTGCTGAGACAAAGGGTGCTGAGCTGAGAATTCTGATTGCTCTGTGTCCCTTTCCTTCTGATTGCTCTGTGTGTCCCTTCTGATTGCTCTGTGTGTCCCTTTCCTTCCCCAGGAAAGTGGAGGACTTGCAGTTCCGTGTGGAGGAAGAATCCATTACAAAAGGGGATCTGGAGGTAATTCCTTATGATCTTGCCAAAATGTGGGATCCAGAGTTGCAAAAATTACTCTGGATGTGGTAGAAATTACTCACTTGAGTAATTTCTGCCACCTTTTGGTCCCCTCTAACAATACTGTACTGATGTGCTGTGTGATTTACTGCTGTGAGCTGTGAGGATTGTTCTTTGGTGTGGTGCCCAAGGGCTGCTCACACCTGGGGCTGCCTGGAGTTCATCTATCACTCTAAGTTGCCAAGCCATGTGAAAATCTGTGTCTGAATGTGTTGAACTTATATTTTTCCACCCTAGAAATGAATTGACAGTTCAGTTCCTGTCCCTGTGGTGTCCTGCTCTCAGCAGCTCATGGGCACATGGAGTCTCCTGAATGGATGCTGTTTAATTCCAGCCAAAATGCTGTTTATGCTGAGGTATCCTCATGTGGAATTCACTGCCTGGAGTGTGGGTTTGGCACTAGATTTTGATAATATTTGGGTTTTTGAATCCACATCTTTTTCTCCCCCCCCTTCAGGGGTTAAATAAGGCACATAAAATACAGAGCCATCTGAATATAAATGACATTTATGTCACCATCTGTGAATACATGTACAATGATATTTTGCAAGCATAAAACATGGATTTTTTTAAAAAACTTCTGTTTCTATAATTTGTACAAAACTTGCAAGCCTTGCTTTATTGTAGGGAAGGGCAGAAAATCCTTAAAACCCTGCCCCTGGGAAGGGCTGTTGCTCAGGGATGCTGTTGCAGTGAGCATTGTGCAGGCTGGAAGGATGTTGGGATGAAGTGATGTTGGCTCTCATTGAGTGGGAGGTTTTTCCATGGGGAAAAGGGAACAGAAAATCTTTCTGTGGAAGCAAGGCTCTGCTCTCCAAATGTAAATCAAGGGAGTTTTTTGTCTGTTTTGCTGCAGTACCAAGTTAGTAACAGCCAGAAATGTCAAGGGCCCTGCTCCTGTGCTTCACTGTCACTCATAGCAACAAAAGCCCAGGAAAATGGGAAAACTGGGAAATGGATATATTGCTGTGGCTGTGATCCTGTTGGCACAAACCTCTCTTCTTCATCCAGAAGCTGAAGTAGATGTTTGACAGGGTGTAAATCAGCAGTGCACTGCTAGCAGACCTTTGTGGGAGCACAGCAAGTGCAATTTCTGCCTGTTGTGTGGGAGCAAAATCAGATTTCAGTTCATCCCTGAGCTGACAGCTTTCCCACAGTGCCCTGGGGAAGGGTGGTTGGTGCATGCATCATTCCCTTTGGGAGCAGTGAATTGTCCCTCTGTAAGCTCCAAGTGTTCAAGCCTGGCTGTGTAATTATGGCAGTGGGACCAGGCTTGGTATATTTGGATTTTTATTTTTTTTTAAAGCCACCATGATGATAAACTGCTGGGTATGGGTAAGGGCTCCCATTCTCAGTTTGGGACTCACACTCTTGGATTCAATTTTGCTTTGGGCTGGGAAGGAATTGTTTTGCAATGGGGATATGGCCAAGCTTTCAGCAGGACATTGTGGTCCTGTTTTCACTTCCATGCTGGTCTGTACAAAAGGACAAATAATTTAGGAATGCTTGATTTCCCCTGACCCAGGGAACTGGCATGCTCTCCATGAGCCCAGCATCAGTCCCAGCACAGGCTTGGCTGGGGCCACATTTCACATCTTGTCTGCCTAATTTGCATGTCCAGACTGAATGACTGACCCACCAGAGTTAATTCTCACCTTCCTGCTTTTTTGTGGAGACAGTTAAGCTTTCCAGAAGCAAGTAATTAACTTGAGAGAAAAAATGTGAAGATACAGAGAGATCAAGGTTTTGGACCTCTGATAGAGTTGCTGTGGATTCAGCCCTGAAATGGAGTTATGATTTCAACCCAGTTTTGATCCTGCTTGGCAGCTGATGCTGTAGTGATTTGGGAGATGAAAAACAAACGCAGGAAAAGCTTTCAAAAGCTTTGAAAGTTAAAAAGCTAATGTAGGAAAAGCTTTCAGGAAAGACTTTTTGTGGTGGAAAACCATAGTTTACAGGAAGTATTATCCTCATCAAGGAACTCTCCCATGCTCATCTCCTGCATCCTGCAGCATGCCTTGAATGCCAGTGGGAAGTCAGTTTATAGCTTGTGAACAGTAATTTAAGGCTAATAGCTACAAATAAATCTGAAATTCATATCTGGGCTTCCTCAAAGTGCAGGGAAACTTTGGATGTGAGGTTGTGACTCATACTGGCTAGTACTAGCAAACCAATTTATATAAAATAACACAGGATTGAATGTAAGCCTAAGATTTAAGGACTGTAAAACAGTTAATCTAATTTTTTCTATGGTTTTTTGTTTGGTTTTTTCCCCTCTATTATCAACTGTTATTTCAGAGTTGGAAAATAACAGGATTAATAGATACTGAACAAGAATATCGAGTGGGACTGAGAGCTTGACTGGGCACTTGTGTTAACCTGGAGAGAATCTCTGTGAGAAGTCCAGAGATGAATTTTGTAATAGGTCATCAAATATATGATGTGCTGTTATATAATTCAGGGTTTTGATAATATTTGGGTTTTTGAATCCACATCTTTTTCTCCCCTCCTTCAGGGGTTAAATAAGGCACATAAAATGCAGAGCTATCTGAATATAAATGGCAGTTATGTCACCATCTATGAATACATGTACAATGATATTTTGCAAGCATAAAACATGGATTTATTAAAAAACTTCTGTTTCTATAATTTGTACAAAACTTGCAAGCCTTGCTTTATTGTAGGGAAGGGCAGAAAATCCTTAAACTGGCTCCAATAGAAAGAGGGGGGAAGCAAATAAGTACATGGAAAATGAAGGGCAAAAAATAGGGTTTAAATGGTTCTGAGCAGGTTTGTTTGCTTTTTTGCTAGATTAATTTTTTTATTTGATAGATTAATTAAGCTTGATTCTAAGGAAAATGTTTTTTAGCTAAAAAAAATGTGAAGGCCAGAGTGTGTATGCACCTTCCCATGTCTCCTCTCCTCTTTTATTTATAAGGAATTCTACATGATTTTACAGTGGTGATTGTGGATTGCTGAGCTTTGCTACCAAGTGCAGCTTTATGGTATTTCAGCTTTAAAAGTGAAGGGCACTGAAGCAATGCCCTGTGCCAGTGCTCCTGGTTTTGGGTAGATAGCATGAGCTTCTTGTGCTTAGCTGAATCATTTGTCAAAAAAACCCCCAACTTTGAAACCAAACCACTAACCAACCAACCAAAAATCCCAAAACCAACCAACCAACCAAAAAAGTTCTGTTTTCTTGTGCCAAAATTGGTAGAGTCCTACTGTACAGAAGTCACTTTGAAATTCATGTCTGGCCTGTTCAATCTCAAAGCACTGATTTACAGAACAGGTTGGGATCACAATTCCCTGATCTCTTCAGTGCAGTGTGTTTCTTGTTTTACAACATGCCATGCACAGTATGACCTGGGGTTTTTTTCCCACTTAGTGTAGGATTCTCACTGTCTCCAGAGCAAAAAGAGGATGGGAACTTCCAGCTCTTTTCAGTCTAACTTGTGACTCTTCTTGAGGAAAGATGTGGAGAATCATTGCAACGTCTTTGCACTGTCTGTGTGATCAAGGGCCTTGTGCTGGTGGGAGCTTTGCTTTTTAGGAAGTGTCTTCAGCTGATGCAGGAGACACTGGAGCAGAAGGATGTCTTCCCATCACAGTTTCACTTTTCTACTGAAGAGCCACTACCAGTACCATGTAAAATCCCGCAGGGACCGTTTCCTGTTTGGTTGGATTTTTCCTCCCTGTCTGGGTTTTTATTCTCTTCCTGTTGTGAACAGCCTTTCCTTGTCTTGTTCTCTGGAGATGATGTTGCAGCCTTCTCTCTCCCTCCCTCTCTTTCTCTCTCTCCCTTCCCTGCTCCCCTCTCCACTGTTCTTTTCTCTCTCTGTGTGAGCAGACTCAGACGCAGTTGGAGCATGCCCGAATTCGGGAGCTCGAGCAGAGCCTGCTGTTTGAGAAGGCACAGGCTGAAAAACTCCTCAGAGAATTAGAGGACACCAGGGTAATGCACCCTCACCTGCCCTGCCTGCAGACAGCGCTTGCACTGCCCTGGTGCTCATCATGCCTTGCTTTGGGTTTCTTTCTTTTGGTTTTTGTGGGGTTGATTGATTTTGGCTTGAACTTAAGCTTCCTTGATTTTGTTTGGTTTTTTGTTTGCTCTCTTTCCCAGAAATAGTAGTATAATATGATTTCCAGCTTTGCTTCTCTTATGGGGAGCTTGTTTCTCAGACTGAGCTTGCTTCTCTGCCCCACGCCACCATCTGACACATGAGCTCCTACAATTCATTTTTCAATTAACATATCCCAGTAATATCCTGCACAATTCATTCTGCCTTGAGCTCCTCCCAGGCTGTAAGAGGAAATAACATTGCAATCAACATTCCAGTCTCCCCTGCCAGTTGTGGGAGCTGCCATCTGAAGGGGAAGGTGCTGGTGGATGCAGCTGGGCCCACTCTGATCCTTGGTCATGGACAACAGGACAGATTGCCCAGAGGAATCCTAAAAGCAGCCAGATGTGGAGAGGGCTTTTTCATGCTGGTGTGGTGTGGGAAGCAGCAAACTTGCTGCAGTGAGCAGTAATGGGTTTGAGAGCTGTAGAAAACATAAATGGGAGGGTCTCCAAAAGGTCTGGATGGTTTGAAGCCCCCTGTGCCCATCTGAAACAATGCCCAGCAGCCTCCTGGGCTGATGACTGCTGGGCAGATGGCAATTGAAACGAAGTGAAATTGAGCTCTTGGAGTTTGGCTCGGTTTCCTTCTTTCTTTTGCCTTTTTCTAATGTTTCATCCTCTTCTTCATCCATAGTGGCAGCACCCTGTACTCCCTGTGACTCACAGGGAGATCAGCCCTGCCAGGTTACATTCAGATGGCAAAACATGGACCCACAGCCCTTAAGCTCAATGTGTACCATGGCCAGATTTATTGTCTTGCATCCTCTAGCCTCCTTTGTTATTTTGACTTTGCTAATAAACTCTAACAAGCACTCATATGTCAAAATCCCTTTTCCTTTTTACACCAGAGTAAACAAATTCTGTTACAGAAGAGAGGTTTGCAGGCTGAGGATTGCTGAGCAATAAAGGAAACATGATATGCTTAATGCTGGTTTTGATGCTTGTGAAATTCCTGCATGTGCAGTCACATCTCCTCTGTGCATCATCTGGCAAGATGCCTGGTCTGGAAACATAATGCCCGTCCAGGACATTATTTTTCATAAACCACTGTTGCTCCCTAGTGAATTTCAAGGGTTATTTCCAAGGTGTTTTTCTGTGGAAAGCAAGAGGTTTGTATTAAGAAAAAATAAATTGCAATTGGCACAGACATAACTGTGAGTTGTCAGTGCTGGTTGCCTGTCACTATAGGGCATGAAACACAACGTGCACACTGCTGCTCTCAGGGTGAAAAAAGGGAAGTTTATTTTCTGACTCCAACATTTATTGATTTCTAAAAGTGACAGTGGATTGGAGGGTGAAACTGCCACCTCTCCAATGACACTAGACAAACCAGCAGTCTATCAAATTTCTCCTCTCTTGCCCTGATTTTTTAAGATTTTCTAAGGCTTCTAATGTTTGTATTCTTGTAATGAACTGTCTCACACACTTTCTGTAAATAACATATTGTTTTGCATTCTTTCATAGAAGAAATTTGATAGACTGTTGGTTTGCTGAGTGTCATTGGAGAGGTGGCACTTTTACCCTCCAATCCACTGTCACTTTTGGAAAACTATAAATGTTAGAGTCAGAAAATAAACTTCCCTTTTTCTTCACCTTGAAAGCAGCAGTGTGTGTGCTCATGTTGTTTCATGTCCTATAATGACACTCCTCCTCCATAAAAGAATGCAAGACAATAAGTTATTTACAGAAAGTGTGTGAGAAAGTTTGTTACAAGAATGTAAACATCAGAATCTGTGATTTTAGAGAATCTTAAAAAATCAGGGCGACAGTTGTGCTGGTGCAAAACTGTGCTCAGGTTGGTGTTGTTATAGGACATGAAAGAGCACAAGCTCACACTGCTGTTCTCAAGGTGAAGAAAAAGGGAAGTTTATTTTCTGACTCCAACATTTATAGTTTTCCAAGAGTGACAGTGGATTGGAGGGTGACAGTGCCATCTCTCCAATGACACTGGACAGACCAACAGCCCACCAACTTTCTCCTCCTCCATAAAGGAATGCAAAACAATGAGTTATTTACAGAAAGTGTGTGAGAAAGTTTGTTACAAGAATGTCAAAGTCAGAAGGCTTAGAAAATCTTAAAAAATCAGGGTGACAGGTTGGAGGGCACCAGGTGCTCTCCACCTCTTCCTCTGAACTTTGACTGATGCACTTTGGATTTATTTCCACTGGAGAACTCTTGCTGTGGGGAAGGTGTGGCGATGAGGGGTGCACTGACCTTGTGTTTGTGGTGTTGCAGCTGACCACGGTGGCGGAGCAGTCCAGGATCCTGCAGCTGGAGGAGGAGCTGAGCCTGAGGCGCAGCGAGGTGGACGAGCTCCGGCAGTGCCTGCAGAGCTCGCAGCAGGCAGAGAGCCCCGAGCACAGCCTGGGCCTGCACTCAGAGGCACTGAGGCTGAGGGATCAGCTGCTCTCTGCCAACAAGGAGCACCAGAAGGAGAGCAGCCAGCTGAAGGAGAAGTATGAGAAGACGCTAAAGAAGTACCAGCAGGAGATGGAGAAGCTGAAGTCTGTCAATGAGAAGTACTCGCAGGAGATTGTGGACTTAAAGCATAAAGTTCAGCAGGCCACTAATGAGAACATGGGGCTCATGGACAACTGGAAGTCCAAGTTGGACACGTTAGCTTCTGACCACCAGAAGTCTCTGGAGGACCTGAAAGCCACGCTCAACTCAGGCCCTGACACCCAGCACAAGGAGATTGTGGAGCTGAAGGCAGTGGTGGAGAGTATAAAGCTGGAGCACCAGCTTGAGTTGGAGAACCTGAAAGCAAAGCACGACATCGAGACAGCTGTCCATATAAAGGAGAAAGAGAGTCTCAAGCTGAAGCTGCAGGAGGCTTTGGAAGAAGTGGAAAAAAGCAACAGCAACTGGAAAATGCAACTGGAAACCAAAAGCAGTCAGCACCTTCTTGAGCTCCAGGATGTGAAGGACAAGTGTCGAGATGCTGAGCTGAGGGTGCATGAACTGGAGAAACTTCATGGTGAATACACAGATCAGACAGAAGCAATAGCTTTCTTGAAAGAGCAGATATCTTTGGCTGAAAAGAAGATGTTGGACTATGAAACATTACAGAAAACAGAAGTCCACAGCAAACAGGAAATCCAAAGATTGCAGGAAAAAGTGCTTGTCTTAGAGAACAAGCTGCAGTCCATGGAGGCCCTGCATCCTTCTCAGCATGCAAATGTATGACTTGGGGGTCATTTTGCTGTTTATTATCACTGTTGGTAACTCCTCAGCCACTGCCTTGTGCAGTTTTTTGAGGCTTCAAATATCTGGATGTTTTTTTCTTCCACTAACAGTGTTCTTTCTGCACTGCATCTCCATGCTGAAGGTGTCAATCCACTCTAGAAAGCCATTGGGACAGTGGGACAATTAGGAAAAGGAGCAAGTGGGGCCACACCTGGGTGTGGAGGCTGCTGTGGCAGCAGTCTAGGGCTGTCATGGTTTGTCAGGGTGGGCTCTCATGCTGAGCAAGCATGTTCTGAGCTGGAAAACCATCATTCCTGCAATGCAGTTGGATTTATTCTCTAATAAATTCCTGCAAGGAGCTGCAGCAGCCTTGGTGTGCTGTTGGGCAAGGCTCTTTGGGGGTTCTAGAAGGATTGAGTGGAAAAAGAGTCAGCCTTGCTCAGCACCTGGAACAAGAGAGGTGCAGTGAGTGCTGCACTGTGGGATGGGTGAGGCTGTGTCAGCAACAGGGCAGGGGCTCCACAGCACGTGTGGGAGACAGGGAAATGCTGCTGTTGAGGGTTAGAGTGGAAAAGATGCCAGAAAGGGTCAGAATGGCACCAGGCTGGGGAAATAAAATGCCTGATTGAATATGAGACCAGGGAGGGCTGCAATAAGAGCAGTCATATGAAGGGGTCAATTTACTGTGGCCTTTGTGTCTAAGTCACCTTGTTTTTTGGGGTTTTTTTGAGTATTTGCCACAGGATGCATCATCCTGCCATTGTGTGTGGCACAAGGGATTGTGGCTGGTTCTGCACTGTAGTGAGCAGGGAGATTGCTACTCATGGGGGGCTGGGCCACTATTTGTGTTTGGATTTTGCATGAGAAATGAGGAAAAACCCAATTTACATCCTGTGGGGATGCAGAAAATTAAAATAAGCTGTAGAACGTGCACATTTGAAGAATACTGCGCTGAAATTTCAGTGGTGATGTAGTTTCTGTTCCAGACAGATCCCAATGAAATGAATTCAATGCCTGTGTTTAATTTCCCAACATGAGCAGCCCCATTGAAAGCAGTTGCACCTCCAGGGAGCAAAGTCAAGCCATGAATTCCATGTTGTCCAAGTCAGAACTGCACACCTTGGAAATAGGCACACAGAGGACAACAGAGGCAAAGGCCAAAGAGGAATCTCCAGCATTAATGGTGTTTGAAGGGTTGCTCCAGGATGTTTCAGCCAATAAGGACAGTTGGGAACAATAAGTACAGCCAGGACTCTGGGGAAAAGGAGTTGTTATTACAACATGTAACACATTATAGCCAATATTCAAACAGGAATGAATGGAAAAGAAGAAGCTGGAGTCTTGTTCCAGAGCCCTTTAGATAAATGGAAGGGCTCTGGGGGATATCAATACTGGATTAGAACCAGGGAAGTCTTAAAGTAATTATTTCAGCTATGTGTCAATTAAAATCAGGAGAATATGGGAAGAAATGCATGGGTGAAAGCCTTTGAGTATCATGGGGCAAGTTCTATTTAAAATTGTCTTAGTTAATTTAAAGTAACTGCAGTATTCACTGCCCAAGTATTTTAAACAAGCAAAGGTTACTTGTGACAGCTTTTCCTAGACCTTCAAGGGAGAGCCACAACTGCTTCCCAAGAGCAGTTAAATAGTTTATTCCATACCAAAAGTACATCAGAAAGCATATTTCTGCTCTGAGGGTTCCCCTGCTTCTGTTTGCCTTGTCCCACAGCCCAGAGTTCAGAGAAGTGGCCTTGGGGCTCTTGGTGGCCACAGCAGCTGCTGGCTCTGGGCATGTGCTGAGGAACCAGCAAAGGCTGCTGGATGGGGAGAGGTGTGAAGGGCTCAGTTGTGGCCTCTGCCACAGAAAGCTTAGCATTGGAAGCTCTGTAGTCTCTGGCTTTTCATTGCAATATAGAAAAGAGGATGGGGAAAAGCAGAATCCCCTGTATGGCATTTGCTTTGTTACTATTTTTATTAATGCATTAGTTCTTTAATAAATTACTGTTTTATCAACATTTTTATAACTTTGGGCACAGCTAGGTTCTGCAGAAGTTGATGAACCTGCTGACTGGTAGGTGTCAAGCTGCATGCTGGAGTTGGGTGTTTGCTGAGATTGCCCAGAGGTGCCTGGTCAGGGGTACAGCAGCTCCTGCATTCCTGTGTGTGCAGGGCTGAACCAGAACCTGGGGGAGAACCTGAGCTCTGCTCCCTCCTGAGTGAATCCTGCAGGTGAGCTCACCTGGGGGCTGTCTGGGCACTCTGGGCAGCCTCAGGAGTGCCCAGCTGGACAAGTGGCTCCTCAAAAAAGCCTTTATTTCCCTCTTGGGAAAGATGTAAAACATCCTAACTTGGACATGGGATGCCTTCTGCTTTGGATGGGGCTTTGTGGTTGTTAACTTCTGCTTGTCTTTGGGTAAAGGGTTAGTTTATATCTTACATTTTACATTTATTCCAGATGATTGAGACTAATGACATTTCAGAAGACAAGATAAAAATGAAGGAGACTATGGAAGGTATGAAACTATTATTTTTATCCTGTTCTAGTGACTTGTACACTTTCTCTTCTTCCAGCTTTCTGCTCTTGCAGGGATGACTGCGTGGCAGGCGTTTAGGAGGACATTTCATCTGTCAAAATTTGCCCAATGGCTTTTGTTGTCTGGATTTGTTTTTTCCTTCTAATCAAGCTGAGCATATGCAGGGGTGGATGTTTTTACCTGTGTAAGATACCTGATGGTGCAGGCTGGAGACAGATCTGGGGAAATAGGTGCATTTCCATTCCTTCACTGATTTTCACAGCAAGTAAAATTCAGACCTTAATTAAATGTTATTTGCTCACAGAAGAGGAGTTTTTAGATATAAATGTGACAGGCTTCAAATAATGATAGTTACTTTTTATTAAGCTCACTATAAATCAAGTCAATCCTTTTAACAAAATGTGAGACTTACTCGGGAAACTTGTATAAAGTGTATTTCAACCTCAACTGCACTCAGCCCCCTCACAGAGGGTAAGCTGTAACACTGAGTCTGAGCAATAGCAGGGCTGGATTCAGAGGTATTTTGTCCTATTTCTGTTGTCCTCAGTGCAAGCCAGGCATTGTCCACAAGCCTTGTCTGTTTTTGCAGATATGGGATCCTGTAGAACTCATTCAGGTTATACCCCATCCCTGCAAGTGCCCAGGGACAGGCTGGACAGGGCTTGGAGCAGCCTGGGATGGTGGATGGTGTCCCTGCCCAAAGCAGGGGTGTGGAACAAGATGATCTTTAAGTTCCTTTCCAAACCAAACTATTCTATGTTTCTACACCAAATTGTTTGCTGATTGACAGGTAATTCCTGCCTTTAATTAGCACCAGCAGCCACTGCTCTGAATGGCCACTCAGTCCATGTGTGCATTGTTTCCACACTGAATAAACTCCAGAAAGATGTTCAGAAAACAACCAGGTCAGATTTGAGCCACAAAAGCATCACACTTCAGATCTGCAGCTCTGAGCATGGAAATGCATCAGTTCCAGAAAACACGCAGAAAACATGTCTTTTAAAACAGTCTCTGCCTTCCACTGTAGGAGGTGGCACAAAGAAATGTGCTAAAAGTTCCATTTGGGTTTTTTTAATTAATGTTTTATTGCCTTTTCCCCTTCTTCCTTTTGGTTTTTTTTTTTTTTTTTAATTAATGCTTTATTGCCATTTCCCCCTCCTCCTTGAGATTGCTTTCCTAGCCCTGTCTGGTACAACCTCCCAGAGTCACCCAGTGTGGTGGGATGAGTGTCCCTCTGCCAACAGCAGTGAACCACAATGGTGCCCACTGCACCCTGGCCCGTGCTGTGTTCCTGACACCTTCCCAATTTGCACAAAGTATTTTCCAGCCCTCTCATTCTTGTCTTTTCATTCCCCCACAGACCTCCAGGACAAGCTGAGTAAAAGAGACAAAGAGGTGTCATCCCTGGTGACCCAGACTGAAACTCTAAGGGCCCAAGTAAGTGGTAAGTTTCCCTAATCCAGTGTTGGGGGGAATTAAATGTTTCCCTGCTTGGCCCACAGCCTGGTGTTGAACAAGAGCCCAGAGCTGAAATAGGCTGATGTAAAACATGATGCTATTGTTTTTAAATGACTATTGCTGGTAGAAATGAATTCAGGAATTGAACACAAACTGCAGCAGATATTAGTGTCCTGTGAGGGAGGGTTTGGGGTTGTTTATGTGTAAAGTTAATGAAGTAGAAGTCAATTGAGCTGGGTGTGTCCCTTTAGCTACAGCCAGCCAAGAGTTAATTATGTCTGTGCTTTTAGGAGTAGGAATTGGGAAAAGGCAAAAAGTAGGGATTAAGTAAAGAACTAAGTGACCTTTCTTCCCCTGAATCTTCTGCTTCTCATAGCTTTGGAAAACAAATGCAAAACAGCAGAAAAGAAGGCTGATTCAGTGCTCAAAGAAAAGAAGAGGTTGGAAGGAGAACTGGAAGCCTTGACCAAGAAAACACATGATGCCTCAGGGCAGCTGGTCCTGATCAGCCAGGAGCTGCTCAAGAAGGAAAGGTCAGTGTGCAGGTCTGGAGGACAGAGCTGCAGACGGGGGCTCTGTGAATATTCATCCAGCCCACAGCTTTCCCTTTCTTTAGAGATGCTGATGTGTGAATTTGGTTGGAATTAGAGGCTGTGAATTCTCAAAAGGCACTGCCCTTTCACTGCTTGCCAGGAGCTGCAAGGCAGCCCAGAGGAGATGCTGAATGAAGTCACTACAGGCCAGCCAGGCTGGCTGCTCAAGCAGTGCCTGTGCAGTGCCAGTCTCAGAGCTGGCAAAGTGGGACAAGAAAAGAGTGGTGGGAGCTGGGTCAGATTTGTTCACTGGCCTTCCTTTGGATCTGTAGCAAAGGTGGGAGGGAGCACAGCAGGGCTCCAGTGGTGTGTGGGCTCTGGGAATGTCTCCATCTCTTCCTGCTGCTGCTTGTATGTGAAAAATATGTATAATATGATTGGCTGTTTGCAAATATTAAAATGAATATTATATGTATTATGTTAGAAAGTTATGCTGTATAAATTCTCTTAAGTAGTGTGTTAAATATAGTTTTTGGTTATGACATAATGGTAAAATAGAACTATGCAATGTAAGATGCTTGTTAACTAGCTCAAGAAAGGGATGAGATAATCAAGAAATTCTTTGCACAGAGATAACAAGGGCAAGACACTGAGATCCCAGAGAGAAGAATTATTGCCTCCTGATGGTGAAGAACTAGTTTCCTTATAGACTCCAATGGAGTCCAACCATGATTTATTTACAAGATGGAGGGAAGCTGTCAATAACCAGAAAACACCCTTTGTTTGAAAAGAATTTTTGAATCATGTATGATATGCAACAGGCTATTGCTTTTAAGGGTTAGTCCTTTGTTAGTGAGGATCCTTTGTTTTCAAGAGGAAAGCATCCGAACATTTGTAATTCTTTGCTTTTACCACCCTACCTCTGATTGCCCAAATTCTTACTGCTCTAATTACATTACTATTTTTATAACCATATTGAACTTTTAACATTTTAAAGCAAGTGGTTGTTGTTTCTCACTGGCAGGAGCCTGAACGAGCTGCGGGCGCTGCTGCTGGAGGCGAACCGGCACTCGCCGGGGCCGGAGCGCGACCTCAGCCGCGAGGTGCACAAGGCGGAGTGGAGGCTGAAGGAGCAGAAGCTCAAGGATGACATCAAGGGGCTGCGAGAGAAACTGGTTGTGCTGGTGAGGGCCCTGAAACCCGTCCTGTGTCGGATAATGCTCCTTTCCTGAGCCCGAGATGAGATAGCTGAGAGGGGTTTTTAAAAACGTTTTATTTTTAGTTTTCTGAGAAAGGGCAATATAGATGAGAGATAATATAGATGTTATATTATAATTAGAAGGTAACTATTTTTTTAATTACAATACACTATATATTGTGTTATTGATGCTATTATAATTAGAAGTTAACTATTTTTTAATTACAATGCACTGTGTTTCTTGATTTATTAGTTTTTTGTTACATCATGCTGCAGATGTCTTAAAGTTAATTATTTAAAACTATCTTTTGTGGGTCCCACTGCAATGTATGTTTATAGCTCTATTTTTCTGAAGTATTTAGTTTTATTTGTAGTTTGTTTTATTAGTTTTTATTTTGTTTTGTTAGTTTTTTCTTTTGTTTTATTAGTTTTTTCTTTTGTTTTATTAGTTTTTATTGTGTTTTATTAGTTTTATATTTTGTTTTATTAGTTTTATTTGTAGTATTTATTTCCTACATTTCCCCCTCCCTCTTGGATAGAAAAAACTTTTTTTGATTGTTTTGTTTATTATTTGTTGTGTATGATGAAGTATATAAAGTAACTTTATATAGCTTATGTTTAACCTTATATAGCCTTCTGTTAAACTTTAAAAACTTTTTCTAAATTTATTTCCTACAATCCTGGCACAGCCTAGGGGCTGGAGGGCTCTGTACTGCTGAGGGGAGTGGGGAGTCTGAGCCCTTCACTCTTGCTCCAGGTCTTTGTGTTTTCTTTTGTCCTGCTGAGCATCTGATGGGGATTCTCTTGACAGTGACTGAGCTTAGCAGCACCTCATTATGCAGCAAAGATACCCACATGTCATTTATCACAGAATATCTCAGTTGGAAAGGCCACAAGGATCATCCAGTCCAACTCCTGGCCCTGCTCAGGACACCCCAACAATCACACCTGCCTGGGAGCATTGTCCAGAGGCTCCTGGAGCTCTGGCAGCCTCAGGGCTGTGCCCGTTCCCTGGGCAGCCTGGGCAGTGCCAGCACCCTCTGGGGAAAGAACCTTTCCCTGATCTCCAACCTGGACCTTCTCTGGCACAGCTCTGGCCATTCCCTGGCTCCTGTCCATGGTCACAGAGGTCATTGTGTGCCTCTGTGCTTCCCCTCATGAGGAGGCTGTAGCCTCCTGTGTCCTTCTCCAGCGTTTTTCTGTTGAGGTTTTAGATCCATGGCTAAATAGTGCTGCAGTTTGTGGGAGGAACTGAAGGTGGTTCAGCTACCCCATGTGTTTTACAGTGTCTCTGATCCAAGAATAAGCAGTGTCCTCAAATTCCCGTGTACTTCAACGTCCTCCAGTGGCTGAGATGTTAATAATTGATTTGAAGTGCTGGGAACAAACTGGAGCTGCTCCTGGTCACTTGATCTGAGCTGTGCTCTGCCCCCATCTGCTGCTGAAATTGCAGCATGGTTCTAGGCATTATGTGGATTTATACCTTGACTTTCTGCAGCTCTTGGTGTGAGAATCCTTAAAATCAGAGGGTTTTGGGAAAGCTGCATAAGGCAGGCCTCAGAGACAGCAGAACTGTGATTAGAGCTAAGCAGCAGCCATGAGATTGGTCAGCAGAAAAATTATGTAAGAAGTAGAAAAGTAAGGACAAGTAGAACCATGTTCTGTGTATTAATGCTTGTCTAGAATAACTCCCTAAGCTGCAGAAAAGTTTATCTAGTGAGATATTAGGAAGTTCTAAGCTTAATAATAGAGCTCTGTGCATTGTGTTGTAAGGCTCACAAGCAGGTATTGTATTCAAAATAAGCAAGCATTGTTTAACCAAAGGTACCTGTGCTTATAGTGACTGGATGGAACTACTGTCAACGTGCTTTTGCTTTGTGTGATTGGTTGTGGTGGTTCCAGTTGTGGTTTCTCTGGGTCTGGATTGAAGGCACTTGAGACAGTGGTTCATGTTCAGACTCAGGTGTTTATTATTTCTTATCAGTAAAACAGTCTCACTGCTGTGAGTTCTGCAGCTTTCCATTAGAAGGCACAAAATGGCCAACAATCTCTTGGTGCAAGGTCTTCTAAGACTAAACTATCCAATTAAGAACTGACACCTGGATTATTTTCCCTTTTAACCCAATAACTGATCCCACAGAGCTGCAATGCAGACTTTTCTGCCCAATTACAAAATGCCACCCAAACCCATGGAGAAGGAGGAAGAAGAAGCCCAGGACAACACCCTGTGCCCTCCATCTTGCTTCCATCTACAACATATAAAAAGTCCCAAAACCTCAATTTCTTACCAAGTGATGCACCTACACTGCTCTCCATAATCTATTTCACACTTTTGGGGATTCCAGCCTCTCTTGAAGCCTAGGAAATTTTCTCCATGAATGAGGGTCAAAGACAGTGCTCCCCTGGGGTAGGGCACCCCAGAGCAGAAAAGAAACATACCCTGTGTGCTCTGGGTTTCCACAGCTGGTCAAAAAACTTTTAAAGTGAGTTGTAAAACTGAGCTCTTGGTCTGCTGCCTGGGATGTGAGCTGATGGCATCTTCCCATTGTCATAACCATGTAGTGAGAATGATGCTGGAAAACAGAACAGCTTGAGATGCCTTCCCCAGCAGTCCCGTCCCGTTTGTGGTTTGTACAGAGCCCCCAGCTGGCAATACTTGGTTTTGCTGTAACACCTCCTGTTGGGAAGGATGAAAGTTTGACAAGAAAGTCTCACAGATATGTGTGCTTAGCAGAAAGATTTTTGAATGTAGAATCTGAAGAAGGAATAGAGATGGAAGCAAGTTTTGATATATAGATAAAAAGAATTGCTGAGCCAGTCTTACTGGATAACCAAGGAGGCAAAGGGTGAGTTAGTTAGAAGGGATTTTATGCCCTAGAGCAAAGGATAAACCCACCCCAAACAAGAAGATGTTTTTACCAAACAGAAAGAGAGCACAGGCAAACAAGTCAGCAAACTTACAAGTAGAAAAAAGGTCTCAGAATTTTCCACTGCAAGAAAACTGAAAACCAACTTCTAGCTTAAACTGTAATGTACTGACTTTTAGTGATTGGAGAACAGTAACATGAATATGGTAATTATAGTAGTTATGATAGGCTAGAGATAAAGGTTAAGGTATAGATTGGTTCTGCTGTATTAAGATGCTTAGCAAAGAAAAGAATATAATGCATTTGTAACCAAAAGAAAAGTACAGAATGCATTGTAACCTAAACTCAGGGTCTCCAGGCCTGCCTGCAGCTGGAGCTGACAGCTGTGGGCACAGCTCTGTCACCCACAACCCTGGACTGCTGTAACGTTCTGGATGGAATAAACTGCATTTTGGAGACTGCCTGGAGTCCCCCATCCCTCACTCAGGTTCTTACACTGTCCCATTTTCCCTGTGCTGCCCCAGGACAAGGAGAAGGCGGCGCCGGAGCAGCGGCGCTTCTCGCTGATCGACCCCTCCTCGGAGTCCGAGGTGATCCGGCTGCAGCACCGGCTCGTCAGCACCGAGGACGTGCTGCGCAACGCCCTGGAGCAGGGACACCAGATGGAGAAGCTCATGGAAGCCATGAGACTCTCCTCTGAGAAAACACAGGTACCTCAGCAAACAGGGCAGCTTAGCCCTCATCTGTGGCATTCACAACCTCTGAACGTGATTCCTTCACCCAGATGCCAGGATCAGGTGTCACATTGCACCGTGCCAGTGCTTGAGCCTCTTGCTGAGCTCCCCATCCTTTGGCAGGCATGCAAAAACTCTGATGGATGGAGAGTCCAGAAAGTTCTCCCGTCTCAGAATGGAGATTTGTTCAGCTAATGCTGCTAAAATCAATACTGCTTTGAGGAAGGCAGCCAGCAGGTTGTGCCTGTGTGTGGCATTCACATTCTCTGGAAAAATTCCTTCACCCAGGGTTTTTCTCTGGGAAGCTGAGAAGCCTCAGAGAAAAGAAAAACAATTCTTATCTCATTTGCTTCTCCTGTGTTGTGCTCATGTGGAATGTGTTTGAAGATTGTTTGCCCACAGGTGATTGTTCCATTGGATTCTGCTGTGAGTTGTTTTCACTCTTTGGCCAATCAGGGCCAAGCTGTGTCAGGACTATGGAAAGAGTCAGGAGTTTTCATTATTATCTTTTTAGCATTCAGTAATTCATTATTCTTTAGTATAGTATAGCATTATTTAATATAATATAGTATAATAAAGTAATAAATTAGTCCTCCTCATCATTCTTCCCTCCTTTCCTTGTGTGGAGTGGGCAGCTAAGGAAGGACAGGGCAATCTTGCCAGATTTCAGTGCTTGTAAGCAAAACCACCAGGATCTGTGTCCCTCTTCAGTAAGTGTTGTCTGTTTTCCATTGCAGACTGTTGGAAACTCTGGGTCTGCTAATGGGATTCACCAGCAGGATAAATCCCACAAGCAAGAGGTAAGTTTTGAGCAGAATGTTATTTAAAACAAGTATCTGCTTTGTGTGGTTTCTTGCCTGCTGTGGTGGGGACAGCACTTGGCTGGGGGTAGTTCTGCCAGCACAGCTTGACTGTGTCATTCCCACAGCAAAAGCAAGAGCTTTGCACAGTTCCAGTTCCCAGGTGTGGTGGGAGCCTCACTAGAAACCCCTTGAAGCCATGGGGAAGGTGGTGGTGAGGGGCACACAGAGAGAGGGGCAATGCAAAGGGAGCTTCCCCACAGTCTCCTGGGTCACGGCTGTGTCACACCTCCCCTGGCAGCCCTTGCTGGAGCCTGCTCAGCCTCAGCTCTGCTGTCCCCTTTGCATGGGTGGCATTTGTGGGACATCCTGTGCTGGCCTCCCACAGCAGACTTCATCCACACATACTGGGCAGAGCAGTGGGCAATCTACTCCATGCCTCTTCCAAAAAACCCTCTGTGCTTTCCAAAAAAGTCTCTGTGCTTTCAAAATAAAGCCTCTGTGCTTTCAAAATAAAGCCTCTGCCTTTGCCTAACAAGTTCTGGTTTTTTGCAGGAGAAGCTCTGATAGAGAAGAGGTGGAAAGGATCATTTCACGCCAGTATCAGCTCCTCTGCACAGTCAGGAAAAGCAACACCACATCTGGCTTTAGCACCTCCAAAAGACCACACACAGTATTTTCACTTTAAAGCAGGACAATGTTTATAATGTACTAACTGATGTAATCAGGACAATCCCAGAGTCCAGCTTTCCAAGACAGCCATTGTTCCAGGAGGGAGCAGAAGGACCTCTCTGGGTTTGGTTTCTTACTTGTATTGGTTTTGACTGTGGAATTTGTATTGTTTGAGCTGCCCTTGTCCCACCAGCTGACGTGGTTTGGATGACAGCTGCCCTGACCTGTGGCTCAAGTGTCAGTGGGACCCCACAGGAGCTGCAGAGGGATTTGCCTGTGGTGCTCAAAGCATGTGCCCACAGGCCGCACCCTTCCCACGGGGTCTGGCCCTTCCCTCCCACACTCCCTGGTGTCCTGAGGACCTGCACAAGTGAGTGAGACCTGCTGGGCTGATGATGTGAGGTTTGGGGATGTGTTCTCCTCCTCCCTTTTGGAAGACATCACTGTTTTAGAGCAGAACCTGCACTTAGTTCTTGTATTATAGCATGTTGTGGGAAATAATCCGGTTTCAGAGGGGTATTTATTTTGTTTCTTCTCTCCTGGCATTTGGGGAAGAGGCTGTGGTGGCTGCTCTGGGTTTGGGGTCAGGCACACCTTGCCTGGGTGCATTGGCCCTTTTTCCTGCAGTGGCATCTCTGAGCAGGCTGCTGGAGCCCTGTGCCATAGCCATCTGTCCAGCTGGGTCCCCCTCACTCCTGGGGGGTTCCTGGGCTCTGTTTTGAGCTCAGGACTCCACAGGTGCTGGATCTCAGCATTGCTGGCCTTGGAGCTCCATGCTGGGGGCACTCAGTGTGGGACAGACACACTGAACAAATGGTTCCCTCCTTGCCTGTGCAATTGAACAGCTCACTGTGATTGCCTGGAGCTTTCCAGAGCTGTCCTGGGCTCTCCAGTGTGATGCCCATCCCCTGCTGCCCGAGGTGGATGGGGTGGAGGTGCTGCTGTGAGCCTCTGATGGCTTCAGCAGTCCTCTGTCATGAGCTGGGTGTGTTTGGAGCAGAGGCAATCCAAGAGCAGAGCCCACACAGCTCCTGTGTCTGCACCAGCAGAGGATCTTGTTCCTTCTTCCCAAGGCTTTACTCCCACTTTGCACCACAGCTCCCAGGTGATAACAGGGCAGAGGAAGGTGACAACATGCTCTTAAAGGTGTGAAAGAGCCATCTCAGGGTCTCTCTTCAGCAGCACAGCACAGGAACAGTCACAGCAATATTTCTCCAGGCTTCTCCCAGTTAGTGCCACCTCCTCCAGCCTTCTGCCATGATGGGACATCTGTGACAGGACAAGATGGGGAGGAGATCTGAGCCAGACCCCCAGCAGATGAACATGAGGGCACATGAGCTCTGTTGCTTTTTGCCCTGATTTCCCACAAAGTTGTGTCACTTTTTCTTAGTGGGTTGCCAGACTCCTGCTTCTCTGAAAGATTGGCAGCCAGAAGCAGCCTGGGAAAGACCTGAGCTTCAGGACTGTGATTTTGCCATGAGGAGAATGACATTGAACACCTGACCCTTCTCACCTGATGCAGAATTGGTGATCTCCTGCCCTTCAAGGAGGATGGGAGAGGAAGGGGAAGTAAAGGAGATCAGAAATCACAGCAGAAATCTGCTTGTGGTAGCAGGAGGCAGAGCATGGGATGGAACTGGCTGGAAATAATTCATATACAATTCCATCCTGCCTTGTAGAAGAGTTTCTTCAGCTCTTACAAGTCACCAGGAAGATTGGCACATCTCTGCCTAGCTCTGGGAGTTTCCCAAGGGATTGTAGGAGTGGTCTCCAAAACCCTCCTGGCTGAGTATTCATCTTCTAAGTGATTTTGGAAAGTCCCAGAGGCAGTTTTTGTTTGTTACAGCCCTCAATAGTGAATACCTCACTGCTGGTTTTAAGAATTTAGGGTTGATGTTCCCCAAAATGCTCCTGTTGGCTGGATGGTCTCTGAAGTCATGGCTGCAGACCCCATGGCCTTCCCTGGGCACCTGCAAGAGGGAGGCTCCATTCTGGTTTGTAATTTATTTTCCTGTTTGGGTCTCCTAGTGACTCATGGCCAGCTGCCTTCACCTGCAGCAGAGACATCTCTGTTTCCACCTCCCTTTGGCTCTGCACAGAGTGGGATCCCCTGGGAGTCAGTCCCCATGTTTTTGGTTCTGTTGATCAGATCCAAAGCTGCCAGGCTGGAAGAGTCTCTGGTTCCTGCCTCTGCCCAGGGACCATCCCCTGAGAGCAGCTCAGACCTGGGGCTTTCCCTGTTCAGCTCAGGAGACAATGCAGCACAGGAGCAGAGGGGTCAGGGCAGGTTCAGAGTTAGTGCTGATGGTGTTCTCTGGCTGTAGATGACTGTGCTGCTCCCTGAGGATCAGCCAGGAGCTGCTGGCACTGCTTGGGCTCTCTGTGCAGGCTCTGTGGTCACTGTGTGACAGGGCTGAAGGTTGAAGCCCCTCTGGGGTGCAGGTCCATGGGAGCTGCTCCCAAACAGGACCATCCACAATGCCAACAGATATTTGTGTGCTCACGTGGGCTTCAGCTGAGCCCTGTGTAAGGAGGGATTGCACTCACTCACTTCCTCCCTCTCCAAATTTAGCACAGGCTTCCCCAGGGCACCAACCTCTGGCTGCCCCCCTGAGGTGGTGAGAGACCACACTGGGGACAAACTTGGAAAGGACAAGCGGGAGAGTCCCCATCCCCTCTATTTATTTGTAAGTTTAAGTGCTATTTTTACCTATGTGGTGGTGTATAAAGTGCTTCACAATCCTTGGTCCTGCTGGCTTGGTTGTTTGGGAGAGTCTGGGGCCCTGGAGCAGTGGTGATGTCCCCTTGTCCTGTTGTTGATCCGGGCTGGTTCCTGTTTGTGCCTTCACTCCCCCTCTGGCTTCAGCCTTGCTCTTACCTCGCTCCCTGGGAGCTGCTGAGGGAGGGCTGTGCTCTCCCCAGCCTTTCTCCCAGCCTGAGAGTGCCATGCTGGTTCTCCAGCTGCAGGTGGGTCCTGAGCAGGGGTGCAGGGTGGGGAGCAGGGGGTGACACAGCTGGGCTCCAAGGGAAGGAGCAGCCCTGACAGTCAGTGATGCTGTTCTGCTGGGAGCTGAGCCCTCATCCACTGCAAAAACAGCCTTTGGGTGGAGACTACTTAGTATGGAGTGATTTCTTCTCTATTTCTCATGACCAAAGGGGAAAAGAATGAGTCTTGCTTGGGAATGTCAGCTTTTTCCCCCCTGCAGCATCCAGAGAGCTGGAGCAGCACCATGCTGTGTCCTGTGGAATTATGGCACCAAACTGCCAGCTGGGTGTCAGAGCTCTGCAGTGATGGTCCCAAAGTGCCAGCTGGGTGTCACAGCTCTGCAGTGATGGTCCCAAAGTGCCAGCTGGGTGTCAGAGCTCTGCAGTGATGGTCCCAAAGTGCCAGCTGGGTGTCACAGCTCTGCAGAGATGGTCCCAAAGTGCCAGCTGGGTGTCAGAGCTCTGCAGAGATGGTCCCAAAGTGCCAGCTGGGTGTCACAGCTCTGCAGTGATGGTACCAAAGTGCCAGCTGGGTGTCACAGCTCTGCAGTGACGGTACCAAAGTGCCAGCTGGGTGTCACAGCTCTGCAGTGACGGTACCAAAGTGCCAGCTGGGTGTCAGAGCTCTGCAGTGATGGTCCCAAAGTGCCAGCTGGGTGTCACAGCTCTGCAGAGATGGTCCCAAAGTGCCAGCTGGGTGTCAGAGCTCTGCAGAGATGGTCCCAAAGTGCCAGCTGGGTGTCACAGCTCTGCAGTGACGGTACCAAAGTGCCTGGGTGTTGCAGCTCTGCAGTGCCAGGTGCCAAGCTGCCAGCCCAGGCCTTACAGCTCCTGCCTCCCCCCAGCCACCAGCAGCTCCTCTGACTTGCAGTAGAGATGCATAAGGATTTCATTAAACAGAACAATGCAAATGGCACTGTAAAAGTCTTAATGAAAATTCCAATACTCCGTTATTCAGCAGCTTTAGCAGCGCAGCACTATCTGTAGGGAGTTATTAATACACTAAGATCCTATAGGCCTCCTGTAAGTTACCAGAAAAAAGATGATACTAGATGTATAAATGGATGATAACCTTTTACCCATACAGTATGTATTACAATTTTGTAGCTTAGTCATTTTTTGGCTATCAGATTTTGTTAGTATGATACAAAAAAAAAAGACAAAAAAATGTTTGACTGCTAATGTCTATTTTGTTATTTGATTCATTTTCTTCCTCTGTACAAAAGCTGTACAAATCTGTCTGTGTAGCTCCTCCACATCTGTATTCATGTACCATCCCCCTTGTCCTGGCTTGCTGGTGTGGTGAGCTCCTACTGAACAATAAACTCTGTGGCTGAACTTGGGCATCCTGGGGCGTGTTCAGGGTGTTCTGCAGGGCACAAAGGATCCTGAGCTGGAAGGGGCTGGGGCCACGGGGCTGTGGCACTGCTCCCCCTGCCCTGGGCCCCAGCAGTGACCTGGAGCCATCTGTGTTTGGGCTCTGCAGTGGCTGGGAGGCTGCAGAGCTGTGTGGGGAGGAGCTGAGCTGGAGCAGAGCAGTGTTTGCTCATGCCTGAGGTGGGGACAGGAGGCCCAGCACCATCCCCTGGCTGGCAGCTCCTGCCATCGAGTGTCTCCCAAGCCCCAGAGTGGTTGTGCTGTTTATCAATCCATGGTTATTTTCCATCTGATTGTCTCCCCAGTCCCTCACTGACATTTCCACAATGCCCTGAGGTGGGAAGTGTTGCAGGGTGCTGTGCCAGACCCACCTCCCTGCACCCCAGCACTGATCCGTGAGTGTTTGAGCACAGACTGTGACTGGGTCATCCTCATTCCTCCCAGGCCATCCCCCACAGCCCTCCAGAGCCATGGAGATGGGGATGGCAGTGAATCACTCCAGGAGGAGCAGCCACACCCCTGCCTCTCTTGTCCCTTGTTGCCACCATGTCCATGTGGATGCTCTGAGCATCACAGAGTGATGCTGTCCCCCTGAGGCAGGACTGGGTGGATTTATGCCAGGGCTTGGTGGTTTTTTCATGGTACAACATCTAAATTAGGAATTTCCTTGACTGCCTGTGGCCCTGGCTCAGCACTGCCCATACAGCAAGGGAACATCCATCTCCTCCTGCCATGTTTTCCTGCATGCAGGAGCTGTAGTTCCTTTATAGAAAAGCATTGCCAACTGCTTAAGATACAGGGAAAAACTGGAATGATTTTCCCCTTGCTCCCTGGCTCCTGCTTTTCCTGGATTTAAAATTCTCCCCTAATAAGATTACTTGAAAGCTTTAAATTATTTTCTAGAGCAGCTGAAGTTTGCAGGGCTGGTTTTATTCCAGAGCAAAGCCCCAAGAAAATTAGAGGTGCCTGATGACAACACCATGAAACCTGTCCATGCAGCCTTATCCCAGAGCTGTCACAGAGGCTGTGCAGATATACCTGATATCCCCTGATTTATTCTTTTTTCAAGGTGGATAAGACACCCTTGTGTCTCCAGCAGCTCCCTGACCCTGTGCAGGGTCTTGGCACTGAAAGGGTTAAAAGCACTGTGCCTAGACATACTGGGGAAAGCATAAAATACCTGGTAACCAATACAGGAGCTACCAAATTTCAGCACAAAGCATACTTAGGAAACCATAAAATATCTGGTAACCAATATAGGAGCTACCAAATTTCAGTCACAAGCTAGAGATCCAGGATGAAACATGGCAAGAAATCGGGAGCAGAACTTGCAAAAATGAAGAACAGAGGTTGTGAAACCAGTGAGAAAATCGCTGAAAGAGCCAACAAGAGGCTGCACATGCCTGGAGGAGAGAGGTGGAAAGGGCACGGTGATGAAGACGTCCAGCCTTCATCAGAAAGGACCACTGAGGAATGTCACAATAGGATATGAAATGAATGATACACGCTGAGATGTCCAAGGCAAAAAAGGTACATTTATTTCTGGACTTTGATATTTATAGAATTCTAAAAGTGACCGTAGATTGGAGGATGAAATTGCCACCTCTCCAACCACACTGGTTAAAATAACAGTCTATCAATTCTCTCCTCCTCCAGAAAGGAATGCAAAACAATCATTATTTATATGAAAAGTGCGTGAGAAACACTGTCACTGACATATTTTATGAAAATCCTTTTGCTAGGATTTTTCTCCCGAGAAGCTGAGAAGCCTCAGAAAAGAAATGTAAACAATGATTATCTGATGGCT